TGTTGTGCAAAAAGAAAAAAATATTTTCCTTTAATAAGATTTCTCGTGTATACAAGCCGAGAAACGAAAATAAAATCCTTTTTTTTAAAAAAAAGCAAACAGGGCGTCTACTTAAATATAAGTTGCGCCCCCAGAAAGGATTCGAACCTTCCTCCTCCGTATGCTTTATTTACCTTTGTCAGTTGTATTTAAGGAAAATTGGATAAAAATAATATTGTTGCCTAAAATTAATATATATATATATATATATATATATATATATATATATATATATATATATATATATATATATATATAATTATTTATTTAAAAATTCATAACATAAACATGTTATAAAATCACTACAAAATATCCATTTTGTTTCAACACTCCCGTGTCTTATCAAATGATGTTGTTGAATGTAAAATAAGTTTCAAATTAAATTAATTAACGATCTTTCACAAGGGGAAAACGTTGTTCCAAAAGCTAGAATGACAAATCAAAATACAAGTATAGGAAAATTCAAAAAAAAACTGACAACGAAGTCATGTTATAATAGCTATTCAGATCGTTAAAATACAGATCGTTAAAAAAGAATTTATTCTAACCAATAATTATTAAATTATATGATAAAATTTGATATTAAAATTAAAAACTGCCAAAATTTAAAATCAAATTTAATCACTATTAAGTTTAAAATTATAAAATTACCGAGGAAAAAATTAAAAAACATATGTTATTCAATTTATTTCTTCGTTGAAATTACGTTAGAATAGGCGTTACTCCATCCGGTCCTCTGACAATATATATGTATATATTTTAATCCCAAGTGTGCGAATGGGGTCGTAAACTCACGCGTAAAACAACACACACACAATCAGATTATAATACATAAGCATCCAGACATATTTAGATATATATATATATATATATACACAAAAAAAAAGTGACGAGACAGGAACATCTCCACGGCCCTTTATGAAAAAAAAAGAAGAAAAGGGGAAACAAACACATACATATATACACAATTAAAAGTGAATGCACTTTCCATACACATAGACACCGATAAATACATGTACACACATCCACCGACATTGACCTAGACAATCAGATACCACAACCAATAAATAATGTAAAATTGGAACGAATAGAATCCAATTGCGACTTTCGTAACATTCAATTTAAAAGAGAGCTCAATACAAAAATAGAACAATATTCTTTATTTTAGGATTTAATATCAAAGGCATGTAAAAAACGCTACAAAAATATGTATTAACACAACACATGAGGCATTAGTGAGATTATTAATAAACATATAACATAAATAATTTGTGTATAGCGTTTTTTTTTATATTTTGATGTAATATCCTAAAATAATATATATGAATGTTTGTGGAATTGATAAATATCCTGGAAATTAAAAAGAACTCGTTAAATAAATAATCAAAAGTTCTTTAGTATTTTTGTTATTAAATTATAAAAAAAAATGCTCGATACAAAAATATCCTAAATCTAATTATTTATTTAAAAATATGAGTTTTACAAGTGGAAAAATTGTAAACAAAACTATTTTGAAAACATGTTTGTTTTATAATACCTATGCCTACCTGAAAAAGTTGCACATTATTAAGTTTCTAAATAATAAAAATCTATTACACAATAGACATAGTTAACGGTTTTTGCCGACATCATCAAATTTTTATATTGAATAATTAGCATAATTAAACAAACAAACAATAAAATAATTTTAAAATCCATAATTTTAATAAATAGTTTAAATGCCCCTACAAAAAAAGATAACCCTTTATTTAGTTATCGTCAAAAAAAGAAATGTTACAATCTACGATTAACAGTTTTTTTTATATACACAAAACCCTTTCAGAAAAAAAAAAAATAAAAAAAATAAATAAATCTCCATAGACACGTAAACCAGACTGGCAAAATCATCTTCCGTTTTAAATTTAGACACCCCAACCTTACCTGACTTGACATCTGTGAATGTAACTTTATAATACAAATTATTAACACCTTACACCCTGTTTATTTAAACAATCGCTCTAGCCGTTACCATAGAAATTTTGATTTCAATAATGAATATGCTATTAAAACACGTAAATTTCAAAAATAATTTATTCTAAAAAAATTTCGCTTGAAGATGGAACAGAGCTTACTTTAATTCAATTTAATTCAAATAATTATATTGAAGTTTTCTTGTCTTGTTTTGAAACATGAGAACTCTTATGTAGCGTGTTGGAATCATATTTTTAAATAAATATTTATATATATATATATATATATATATATATATATGATGAAATAACAGTTTTAAACATTGCATTATATTTATGCGATAAAAGTATCAATATTGATATATATATATATGTAAATATAAAAGCGAACATTGAATCAACACTCAGAGGCGACAATGTTTCTGTCGCCTCTGATCTATATCAATTATAATATATATATATATATATATATATATATATATATATATATATATATATAATTTAATATAAAACCTCAAATGCTAATATCCCATGGTTATAATTTATTACATTGGAATCGTATTCACGATCTCAATTCATCAGACCTACAAATTCAAATTCTATCCTTGAAAAATTTATATATATATATATATATATATATATAATGTTGTGTGTGTGTGTGTGTGTGTGTGTGTGTGTGTGTGTATATATATTGACCACTAATATTATCAATACATATATATATATATATTCGCTCTCCTGTCGGTTTCAACGTATGAGGATCTGTCAGATTAGTTGATTCAGTTATGAAAGTTTGTGCGATAATCTTAAATGACATTTAAGACCCGCTAGTGAATTTTCAAGGAGACCGCATATGGAGCAAGTGTGAGGATTGTTAATGAGATCACTCTTAGATTGGCTGACCTTTTAAAAATCTTGCTCTCGCTTCTTGAAGATGATTCAGACAAACAGATTGAAAACTGCTCAGACTTCTATATATCGACCTAGGTATGACGATAAACGACATCCGCATCCTCTTGGGTAATATCTATGTATGTATATATATATATTTGGTTTTGCTTTGTTTACAGCATATCAACCTCAATGGGTTATTTATTGCGGAACGTTTTTATTGTTGGTAATATTTCTCAAGCATGTATTTCTAGTAATATTTTTCCTTCAAAAAATCTATATCCGGCAATATTTTTTTTTTTTCAAAAAAAATTGCTGGCCTTATTTTAACAAAAAATTGCTGATAATATTTTTTATTTTTTGCCTAAATGTATTGCTGGTAATACTGCGTATTCAAAACATTTATTGCTAGTATTTTCAAAAGATGCTACTTGTGTGTGTGTGTGTGTGCGTGTGTGTGTGTGTGTGTGTGTGTGTGTGTGTGTGTGTGTGTGTGAACCCCCAGTAATGTTACATGGGTCATAATGGTTTATGAACCCCTGTTGAGAAATTTAATTTAGGCATGCAAAGGTGTACATCGACTGTTCTGTTTTTTCTACTCAGTTGAAATATGTTAGGGTTATTATTAAAAAATTATTAAAAACTGCAACTAGTTACGTATTAAAAATCATTAATTTTTTTATGAAAAAAAATCATCAAATAATGATTTTAATGTTTGTAAATTGATTGATGTCTGTCTATATTTCTGAGATGAGTTAATATGTACACTATTCACATTTTTTAACTATTGTCTTCATCTTTGTCGCCATATTTATTATTAAAACGTTTCGGCCTTTGAGTATCTGTCTATATTTCTGAGATGTGAAATTATGTATACTATTTACATTATTCGGACTATTGTCCTCATCTTTGTCGCCATATTTATTACAACGTTTCGGCCTTTCAGTATCTGTCTATATTTCTGAGATGAGGTAGTATGTACACTATTTACATTATTCGCACTATTGTCCTCATCTTTGTCGCCATATTTATCACAACGTTTATCACCTTCTTCAGGTGGTTGGAATGTCCTTCGGTAAACTCTTTAGTTCTAGTTCCACGTGCCATGTCTAATGAATGTCAGTTATCAGTTATCTCCTGTTAATTCCCTCTCCATTCTCCACTGCCTTAAAATGTATTGAACTCACACTCTCTGAGTTCTGTCACTGGATCTAACTAACGCCTTTTTAATCTGTTTTATGTGTCCTTGAAGGAATATGTGCATGAATTTTATATTATAAACCCTAATGTCTTCAGCAACCATTTTTTTACCATGTATTCATATTGCAATTTTTTTATATTATCATTTTGCATGACTTTTACCAGTATTTTGCAATTTTTTTTGTTATTATCTACCTGAAGAAGGCCGGGTGTACAACATTTAAAACACTAAACTTAAACATGGCGACAAAGATAAAACAATAGTCCGAATAATGTAAATAGTGTAGATTTGATGTCATTTAAGAACAATTTAACAGGTCATCGTTTTTACTGAACATTTTCCAGCAATAATGTGTACATCGTCGTTTACGGTGGCAAATTAAATTAAGATAGATATCATAGATTAGCAAGCATCTAAACCATTCAACCCGTCGTTTCAAGGTGATCATTTTCTTATAAGAACCTCACAGGTTTCGACTCTATTGCTAAAGAAGGTAAATAAATCAGGAAAAGAAAAACAATAAAGGAAACAGAAATTCTATTTTCCTCAGATATTCATTTTCCCAATCCAACAATAATTAACCCATAGATATAATCAAAATGGCGTCATATATTTCAGAGGTAATTATTCGTTCGTAAGTGAATATGACGAACCCATCTGGAATTAGGTAATTCGATCTGTTTAATTTTCAACCGCTATCAATAGTACTTGACACGGATAAAACCGAATGTCGCCCCTCTAAATTGTTAATTCCTTGTTGTCTTTTTGAAAACCATTAAGGATGCCTACATATAAATTTATATATAATATGATTTAATGTGTATATTACTATTAATTATGCACCCATATTGTGCCTCAGTTGTGTGATGTGTCTGATCCCTCTCATGAAAATGGGGGCTCGGCCTTTTCCCTGAAGTATAATGTTCCCCAGGTTTGGGTACCTCCCTGCCCAGTTTAATTTGCCTATTTGCGACTCTCCTTTTTCAAAAACAGTCTGATTATTTCAAAAAGACCAATGAGATTTGATTAATATCTTACAAGCCCCTAAAAAAACATATATTTACTTGTCTTCCTCTATAGATATGGGATATCTTCCAAGTACTCATGAAAAGCATAACCCGTGATTCAACATTTCTATGACATACAGAGCTAAAAAATAAATGTAAGCTCGTCGGTTGCATTAACCTTTCAATAGATTCACTGATCCCTCTCCCTGGTGCAATGTTGAACGCGGCCTTTTTTCAATGGGCACCTCTCACATAAAAGACGACAGTTGACCCTGTCCTTTGAATAGTCACCACTAGTGCAAAAACTCTGCCCAAAAAGGCAGACCTATGCGGAAATAGATGTTTAAACCCCTCAAGAAGCAGCTATTTACTGTTCTTCTCCCCAATAAGAAGATTTGTGACATGGTCTTTTTTAAATAGGTCAGACCCGAGGCGCTGTCGATTGCGCTGATCTGGATACGTCTTTCCGATCCCTCTCTCTGTTTGCAATGATTTTTGCCTTGAAACAAAGAAAAAATGCCAGACCATTTTTTACCTTTAGTATAATTTTCCTTCACTTACGATGTCTGTCCTTTGACATTTTTGTCTCTTTCTATGCTGTCAAAGACAGAGACACGCAACTGAGAGATGATTAATTTTCATGTTTAAAAGCACTCCAAAATATGTACTACTATTACACCATCCCTTGTTTATTATAAAAGAATAGAATCTTATTTTCCCAAAAGATCTAAGTACAGAAAATAGAATATACCATTTAGTGATTCAACATCCCATTACATTTAATTAGTCCAACGAACCACGTCATAAAATAAATGAACAGGTTTCAATAAGACAGAAAATGTCGATTTTTTTTTTCAAAGTCCATTCTTGAAGATTTAACATCAGAAAATCATTCCTTGAAATTTCTAAAATTAAATGAGGTAAAGAATATTTAAAACATTTGACATGCAAAAATATTTAAGGCAAGAGGGACAATGAGGAAACAGACGAATATGTTTTTTGGCATATTTTTTTTTTAAATTTAGGGAAAAGATTTTGGACATAAAATTTTAAAAAACTAGGAGAGACAAATAATTTTTCTTGGAATTTTCTCTGATCATTTCCCATCTTGAAAGACAAAAATAAAAAGTAAATTTATTTTTTAAAAACTGAAGACAAGTTCCAACTCTTTTTTTTCTTATTTGAACTTTTTCATCTTTACATAATAAATGGATAATGGATTTAAGACAGAATTTCTCGGGGGATTTTGTTTCATTATTTTAGATAGAATAGAATGCATCACCATGCTAGTAAAATAACCCTTCTCTCTGGCCAATGTAATTCAGAAAGATATATTATTTCTAAAATTTATGAACAGACGAGATAGATCATTGATGAATTCTGCTCCAGATAAATAGAATAGATATTATGTCGTCCATACGATTATTTAATTTTCTTCAGATAGATAGATTTCTAGATCTGATATATCAAGTGCCCCACCATTCAGAAATGGGATGAATAATAACTGAATAATTTTCAACAATAATATGGAAATTAATTTTTTTATTTATATTAATGAAAATTTTTGCGTAAATTTTTATTTTAAAATATATATTTTAACAATGTTTATTTGAAATTACTTTCGTCCTTGTCTATAAGAAGGATTTTTCTTCATTAAGTGAGTGTTTTCAAACTGAATTTCACAAAAACAGTATGATGTCAGTTTCAAATCTTTGAATGATGGATTGATTATCTCAATTTTCCGTTTAAATGTCATTTTTTTCGTATTTTTTGTTGTGTCTGAATTTTTTTTTGTTGTGATATCTAATCAAATTCATGGTTTTTGCACTATTAACCTCAGCATTTTTTTTTTAATTCCAACTCGTGAACTGAAGCTATTTAGTGGTTTATGATTTAAAAACTAACTAATCATTTTCTTTAGTATCTAGAAGTTCAAATTTTTTTTGCTTTCATGTATCTACTCATTGGGGTTAGTTTTTAGAATTGTTTTATTTTCCCCCCCAGAAAATCACAGGCAATTTAAATATGGGGACTAATAGAATTTTCATAGAGACAAAGATAAATATGGTTATTTTCAAGTAAAAAAGATTGGTAATATATGAATGTCTTTTTTGGTGTTTTTGTTTTTTTGCGACAATTAGGTTCAGCGTTTGTGTCTAGACAAAAAATTCGTTAAGACCAAATAAGATTACCGCCTTTTTTTTTCCACAATCACCATTTTTGCACACACATTTGTAAAATAAAATTATATTAGAATAAATAGAACCCAATTCTATTATTATCAGGATCTTTCCTTTTCATTTTTAGGTAACATTACTGATGCGAACGAAAATCATTTTTTCAGTCTAGTTTCTGGTAAATATTTTCATTCATAGATACCAACGATTTAAAGAACACATGGAATTTTCCTTTTTTTTCAGTGTTGGAAAACGTACTACCGTCCCATACAAAATAATTGGAAATATGTTTATCTGACTATTTAAGATTTTCATTTTTTTTTTATTATTTCGGAACTTTTGAAAATTTACCAAAAAATTACCCCAATTGATTCAATGAAAAAAATTTACAAATTTAAGATAATTATGATTTACGATCTGCGTTTTAATTCTAATTTCAAAATTTATTTTGGGACATAAGAAAACATTCCTATCCCCAATGGAATTTCGTTTTCAAAAATTTCAGGTTCATTAAAATAAAAAAGAATAACTATTTGTTGCACGATCAATTTAAAAAAAAACTTTTTAAAATTCCACGAGCAGCATTTCGACCTCTTTTCATTGCCCATGGCTTGATTCAAAAAATCAAATGACTCATACAGCAATCGCTATCAATGACTTAAAATATTTTTGCCTTCCTTGCCTTTAAAGGAGTGCCCTTTGCCGTGCTGATGTTGCTACATACGCCTTAAATTGTCTATCTCACACTGCAAATTTTTCTAAGCTCTATACTAAACATTAAATCTTTTTTCACTAAAAAAGAACTAAACAAAATGAACACAAAACGATCAGCTTTAAAAAAGGACTCGTAACTGGAAAAACTGAATGAAAAAAAAATTGTTAACAACAAATTTTCTTTTTCACACCAACCCAGTTCTGTGGAATCAGAAATCAACGTTGAGTTTAAACAAAACGAATGAGCCAATTGATTGGGTAAATTCCTCTTTTCACTACCATTATTTAGCTATTTAAAAGTTAACATTCGTCCCCACTTTGTGACCAATTCACGCTATCGATTTTTTTTATTTTTTACCATGTTATTAATCCTCGTGTCAAGTCAAAAACTCTTTGAATCTCTATTTCGAACTTTTCTTTTTTTGCACAGTAAAATGGTCCGCAAACTACAAAAACTGCCGTAGAAGCATGAAAAAAATCGATTATTTCTAATCGATTCTATAGTTGGGAAATTCAAAGTCGGTCTTGGCCTTTTTTTTCTTGGAGTTTGTGCATGTAGATTTTATATCGACATTTGACGAGTTTTTTTTCCCCATTTCCAGACGACAAATTCCTTCTTGATAAACAACACCGTTTTATAAAATTCTCTCTCCCTTTCAAACACTAAAGTTTAACATTTTCTTCAAGAACTACGAATATTTAACTCTTTTCAAAACAGTTCAACAAAAAAAAAAAAATTAACAAATTTCACCTTTCTTCATTACAGTAGGATTCCATTACGTTTAAATTTTTTTTATCACAGACTGTCGTCAATTTTATGGGCTCGTCTTGATTCGAACAACTTTTTAAAATTTTTTTACCAAGTTCTAGAAAATTTACCAACAGTCGTCTCATCAAACCGCCGAATTTGATTGCCAATTGGTACGACGCTTCTCTTGAATTTTTTTTCTTTTCCTCTTTATCAGCTAATCTTTTAAGTTATAGATTATTTAAGACCAGAATAAAAAAAAAAACTTTAGAAAAATGTTTTCCTCTTTCCATGAATAAAACTTCTTTGATCAAATTGCATGTACCAATTGTATTGATGCGAACAACTTTCGAACCCTCTTTTCACTACCAGAGTTCTACGACAGTCGTCCCACACATTTCAAACCAATTCCAAATGAACAAAACTTTTTCCTCTTTTCACTTAACTACTAAAACTGTCGTCCCCACACATTTCAGGACCAATTCCTCGTCTTGATGCGAAAAATTTCGAACTTTTCCTCTTTTTCAGACCAGAGTTCTAAAGAAAAATGTCCCACAAAAGACCAATTCCAAATGCAAACAATCCCCTTTTCACTACCAGGTTCTCATATTCTCGTTACCAGAGTTCCTCGTCTTGATGCGACACTTTCGTCTCTTTCAAAAGACATTCAAGACCAATTCCACGTCTTGATGCGAACAACTTTCGAACTTTTTTTTTTCAACCAAATCTACGACACTGTCGTCCCCAACATTTCAAGATAATTCCACGTCTTGAAAACAACTCGATGAAATTTACGAAATTTCATTATTTTTTTTTCGAATTTTCCTTTTTTCACTACAATTTTCGACACTGTCGTCCCACATTCAAAATTCCATTTTGATGCGAACAAAACCGAACTCACAATGTTTTTCATTATTTCAAAACAATTACAATTTCGTGACCAAACTTGTCGAACAAATTTTCTTGATGCGAAGTTCTTTTTTTTTTTTTCTTTTTTCGTTTAATTCAAGACCAATTTTCGTCTTGATGCGAACAATTTCGATCTTATCACTTTTCACCCAGTCGTCCCCACACATTCACTCACCAATTTTCTTGTCGTGTAATTTCTACAAGTCCCCAATTTCAGACCAATTCCTCGTCTTGATGCGAACAATTTCGAACTTTTCATTCTTTTTTCTTACCAGGTTCTACGACACTGTCGTCCCCACATTCCAGACCAATTCTTGATGCGAACAAAATTTCGAACTTTTCCTCTTTTTAATTACGACACTGTCGTCCCCAATTTCAAGATAATTCCACGTCTTGATGCGAACAACTTTCGAAATTTTACGATAAATGTCGTCCCCACACATTTCAAGACCAATTCCAGTCTTGAAAAACAACTTTCGAACTTTTCCTCTTTCACTACCACTACGATCTGTCGTCCCAAATTTTCAAGAATCAATTCTCGTCTTGATGCGAACAACTTTCGAACTTTTCTCTTTTCACTACCAGAGTTCTACGACACTGTCGTCCCCAGACATTTGTTTCCACGTCTTGATGCGAACAACTTTCGAACTTTTCCTCTTTTCACTACCAGAGTTCTTGACACTGTCGTCCCACATTTTGGCAAGACCAATTCCACGTCTTGATGCGAACAACTTTCGAACTTTTCCTCTTTTCACTACCAGAATTCTACGACACTGTCCCACCCCAAGAACAATTTCAAATTCGAAGAACCAATTCCTCTTTTTCGTCTTTCTACGATGCGAACAAAGTCTTTGATTTCGAATTTTTTCACTAAATTGGCTTGATGCGAACAGCACTTACTTCCCGTTTTCCAAGATTTTCAGACTCTTTTATTTTCGACTTCGACACTGTCGTCCCCATGTTTTTCAAGACCAATTCCTACGACACTGTCGTCCCAATTTCATCTTTCCTGCGAAACTTTCGAACTTTTCCTCTTTTCACTATTTTCTACGACACTTTCGTCCCCACACATTTCTTCCAATTCCACGTCTTGATGCGAACAACTTTCGAACTTTCCTCTTTTCACTACCAAATCTACGACACTTCGTCCCCACATTTCAAATACCAATTCCACGTCTTGATGCGAACAACTTTCGAACTTTTCCTCTTTCACTACCAGAGTTCTACGACACTGTCGTCCCCACATTTCAAGACCAATTCCTCGTCTTGATGCGAACAACTTTCGAACTTTTTCCTCTTTCACTACCAGAGTTCTACGACACTGTCGTCCCCACATTTCAAGACCAATTCCACGTCTTGATGCGAACAACTTTCGAACTTTTCCTTTTTCACTACCAGTTCTACGACACTGTCGTCCCCATTTCAAGATTTTCCTCGTCTTGATGCGAACAACTTTCGAACTTTCCTTCACTACCAGAGTTCTACGACACTGTCGTCCCCACATTTCAAGACCAATTCCAGTCTTGATGAAACAACTTTCGAACTTTTCTTTTTCACTACCAGAGTTCTACGACACTGTCGTCCAACCACGATTTTTTTCAAGAACAATTCCACGTCTTGATGCGAACAACTTTCGAACTTTTCCTCTTTTCACTATTCTACGACACTGTCGTCCCCACACATTTCCAAGACCAATTCCTCGTTTGATGCGAACAACTTTCGAACTTTTCCTCTTTCACTACCAGAGTTCTACGACACTGTCGTCCCCACACATTTTTCAAGACCAATTCCTCGTCTTGATGCGAACAACTTTCGAACTTTTCCTCTTTTTTCACTACCAGAGTTCTACGACACTGTCGTCCCCACACATTTCCAAGACCAATTCCTCGTCTTGATGCGAACAACTTTCGAACTTTTTCACTACCTCTTTTCACTACCAGACCAATTCTACGAACACTTTCGTCGTCCCCACACATTTTCCAAGACCAATTCCACGTCTTGATGCGAACAACTTTCGAACTTTTCCTCTTTTCACTACCAGAGTTCTACGACACTGTCGTCCCCACACATTCAAGACCAATTCCACGTCTTGATGCGAACAACTTTCGAACTTTTCCTCTTTTCACTACCAGAGTTCTACGACACTGTCGTCCCCACATTTCAAGACCAATTCCTCGTCTTGATGCGAACAACTTTCGAACTTTTCCTCTTTTCACTACCAGAATTCTACGACACTGTCGTCCCCACATTTTCAAAGACCAATTCCTCGTCTTGATGCGAACAACTTTCGAACTTTTCCTCTTTTCACTACAGAGTTCTACGACACTGTCGTCCCCATTTCAAGACCAATTCCTCGTCTTGATGCGAACAACTTTCGAACTTTTCCTCTTTTCACTACCAGGTTCTACGACACTGTCGTCCCCACACATTTCCAAGACCAATTCCACGTCTTGATGCGAACAACTTTCGAACATTTCCTCTTTATACTACCAGAGTTCTACGACACTGTCGTCCCCACACATTTCCAAGAACAATTCCACGTCTTGATGCGAACAACTTTCGAACTTTTCCTCTTTTCACTACCAGAGTTCTACGACACTGTCGTCCCCACACATTCAAGACCAATTCCACGTCTTGATGCGAACAACTTTCAAACTTTTCCTCTTTTTCTACTACCAGGTTCTACGACACTGTCGTCCCCACATTTCAAGACCAATTCCTCGTCTTGATGCGAACAACTTTCGAACTTTTCCTCTTTTTTCACTACCAGAGTTCTACGACACTGTCGTCCCCACATTTCAAGACCAATTCCTCGTCTTGATGCGAACAACTTTCGAACTTTTTCCTCTTTTCACTACCAGGTTCTACGACACTGTCGTCCCCACATTTCCAAGACCAATTCCACGTCTTGATGCGAACAACTTTCGAACTTTTCCTCTTTTCACTACCAGAGTTCTACGACACTGTCGTCCCCACATTTCAAGACCAATTCCTCGTCTTGATGCAGACAATTTCCACCTCTTTTCACTACCAGAACAACTGTCGTCCCCACCCATTTCAAGACCAATTCCTCGTCTTTGCGAACAACTTTCTATTCTATTTTCACTACCAGAGTTCCTACGACACTGTCGTCCTTTCCAAGACCAATTCCTCGTCTTGATGCGAACAACTTTCGAACTTTTCCTTCTTTTCACTACCAACAGTTCTACGACACTGTCGTCCCCACACATTCAAAGACCAATTCCTCGTCTTGATGCGAACAACTTTCGAACTTTTTTTCCTCTTTTTCACTACCAGAGTTCTACGACACTGTCGTCCCCTTTTTTCAAGACCAATTCCTCGTCTTGATGCGAACAACTTTCGAACTTTTCCTCTTTTCACTACCTGTCGTCCCCACATTCAAGACCAATTCCATCTTGATGCAACGACACTTTTCCTCCCCACTACATTTCAAGACCAATTTCCACGTCTTGATGCGAACAACTTTCGAACTTTTCTCTTTCACTACCAGAGTTCTACGACACTGTCGTCCCCACATTTCAAGACCAATTCCGTCTTGATGCGAACAACTTTCGAACTTTTCCTCTTTTCACTACCAGAGTTCTACGACACTGTCGTCCCCACACATTCAAGACCAATTCCTCGTCTTGATGCGAACAACTTTCGAACTTTTCCTCTTTCACTACCAGGGTTCTACGACACTGTCGTCCCCACATTCAAGACCAATTCCACGTCTTGATGCGAACAACTTTCGAACTTTTCCTCTTTTCACTACCATTCTACGACACTGTCGTCCCACAAATTTCAAAACCAATTCCTCGTCTTGAAACAAAAACAATCCTTTTCCTCTTTTTCAGAGTTCTACGACACTGTCGTCCCACACATTTCCAAGACCAATTCCACGTCTTGATGCGAACAACTTTCGAACTTTTCTCCTTTTCACTACCAGAGTTCTACGACACTGTCGTCCCCCCACACATTTCAAGACCAATTCCTCGTCTTGATGCGAACAACTTTCGAACTTTTCCTCTTTTTCACTACCAGAGTTCTACGACACTTTCGTCCCCACACATTCAAGACCAATTCCACGTCTTGATGCGAACAACTTTCTCTTTTTCTTTCTACTCTTTTTTAATGACTTCCAATTCTACGACACTGTCGTCCCCACCCATTTCAAGACCAATTCCACGTCTTGATGCGAACAACTTTCGAACTTTTCTCTTTTTCACTACCAGAGTTCTACGACACTGTCGTCCCCATATTTCAAGACCAATTCCTCGTCTTGATGCGAACAACTTTCGAACTTTTCCTCTTTTCACTACCAGAGTTCTACGACACTGTCGTCCCCACACATTTCAAGACCAATTCCACGTCTTGATGCGAACAACTTTCGAACTTTTCCTCTTTTCACTACCAGAGTTCTACGACACTTTCGAACCCCACATTTCACAGACCAATTCCAGACGTCTTGATGCGAACAACTTTCGAACTTTTCCTCTTTTTTCACTACCAGGTTCTGCGACACTGTCGTCCCCACATTCAAGACCAATTCCACGTCTTGATGCGAACAACTTTCGAACTTTTTCCTCTTTCACTACCAGAGTTCTACGACACTGTCGTCCCCACACATTTCCAGACCAATTCCTCGTCTTGATGCGAACAACTTTCGAACTTTTCCTCTTTTCACTACCAGAGTTCTACGACACTGTCGTCCCCACATTCCAAGACCAATTCCACGTCTTGATGCGAACAACTTTTCGAACTTTTCCTCTTTTCACTACCAGAGTTCTACGACACTGTCGTCCCCACACATTTCAAGACCAATTCCTCGTCTTGATGCGAACAACTTTCGAACTTTTCTCTTTTTCACTACCAGAGTTCTACGACACTGTCGTCCCCACATTTCAAGACCAATTCCACGTCTTGATGCGAACAACTTTCGAACTTTTCCTCTTTTCACTACCAGAGTTCCCACATTTCAAGACACTGTCGTCCCGAACACATTTCAAGACCAATTCCTCGTCTTGATGCGAACAAATTTCGAACTTTTCCTCTTTTTCACTACCAGAGTTCTACGACACTGTCGTCCCCACATTTCAAAGACCAATTCCACGTCTTGATGCGAACAACTTTCGAACTTTTCCTCTTTTCACTACCAGAGTTCTACGACACTGTCGTCCTCACATTTCAAGACCAATTCCACGTCTTGATGCGAACAACTTTCGAACTTTTCCTCTTTTCACTACCAGAGTTCTACGACACTGTCGTCCCCCCACTATTCAAGACCAATTCCTCGTCTTGATGCGAACAACTTTCGAACTTTTCCTCTTTTCACTACCAGAGTTCTACGACACTGTCGTCCCCACATTTCAAAGACCAATTCCTCGTCTTGATGCGAACAACTTTCGAACTTTTCCCTTTTTCACTACCAGAGTTCTACGACACTGTCGTCCCACATTTCCAAGACCAATTCCTCGTCTTGATGCGAACAACTTTCGAACTTTTCCCTCTTTTCACTACCAGAGTTCTACGACACTGTCGTCCCCCACAAGACCAATTCCAAGACCAATTCCTCACTACCAGTCTTGATGCGTCCCACAACAACTTTCGAACTTTTCCTCTTTTTCACTACCAGAGTTCTACGACACTGTCGTCCCCACATTTCAAGACCAATTCCACGTCTTGATGCGAACAACCTCTTTCACTTTTCCTCTTTTCACTACCAGAGTTCTACGACACTGTCGTCCCCACACATTTTCAAGACCAATTCCACGTCTTGATGCGAACAACTTTCGAACTTTCCTCTTTTCACTACCAGAGTTCTACGACACTGTCGTCCCACATTTCAAGACCAATTCCTCGTCTTGATGCGAACAACTTTCGAACTTTTCCTCTTTTCACTACCAGAGTTCTACGACACTGTCGTCCCACACATTCCAAGACCAATTCCTCGTCTTGATGCGAACAACTTTCGAACTTTTCCTCTTTTCACTACCAGAGTTCTACGACACTGTCGTCCCCACACATTCCAAGACCAATTCCTCGTCTTGATGCGAACAACTTTCGAACTTTTCTCTTTTCACCCCACACATTCCAGAGACCAATTCTCTTGATGCGATTCTTTCGAACTTTTCCTCTTTTCCTACCAGAGTTCTACGACACTGTCGTCCCACATTTCCAATTCCACGTCTTGATGCGAACAACTTTCGAACTTTTCCTCTTTTCACTACCAGAGTTCTACGACACTGTCGTCCCCACACATTTCAAAGACCAATTCCTCGTCTTGATGCGAACAACTTTCGAACTTTTCCTCTTTTCACTACCAGAGTTCTACGACACTGTCGTCCCATCAAGACCAATTCCCCTTGATGCGAACAACTTTCGAACTTTTCCTCTTTTCACTAAGGTTCACGCCTGTCGTTGATTCCGAACAACTTCTTGATGCGAACAACTTTCCTCTTTTCACTATTCCCAGTTCTACGACACTGTCGTCCCCACATTTCAAGACCAATTCCTCGTCTTGATGCGAACAACTTTCGAACTTTTCCTCTTTTCACTACCAGAGTTCTACCGACACTGTCGTCCCCACACATTTCAAGACCAATTCCACGTCTTGATGCGAACAACTTTCGAACTTTTCCTCTTTTCACTACCAGTTCTACGACACTGTCGTCCCACATTTCCAAGACCAATTCCTCGTCTTGATGCGAACAACTTTCGAACTTTTCTCTTTTTCACTACCAGGTTCTACGACACTGTCGTCCTCCATTTCCAAGACCAATTCCTCGTCTTGATGCAACAACTTTCGAACTTTCCTCTTTCACTACCAGAGTTCTACGACACTGTCGTCCCCACATTTCAAGACCAATTCCACGTCTTGATGCGAACACTTTTTCCTCTTTTTGATCTACGAACAACTTTCGTCCCCACTACATTCTACCAAGACCAATTCCTCGTCTTGATGCGAACAACTTTCGAACTTTCCTCTTTTCACTACCAGTGTTCTACGACACTGTCGTCCCCACATTTCAAGACCAATTCCACGTCTTGATGCGAACAACTTTCGAACTTTTCCTCTTTTCACTACCAGAGTTCTACGACACTTTCGTCCCCACACATTTCAAGACCAATTCCTCGTCTTGATGCGAACAACTTTCGAACTTTTCCTCTTTTCACTACCAGAGTTCTACGACACTGTCGTCCCCACATTCAAGACCAATTCCTCGTCTTGATGCAACAACTTTCGAACTTTTCCTCTTTTCACTACCAAGTTCTACGACACTGTCGTCCCATTTCCAAGACCAATTCCACGTCTTGATGCGAACAACTTTCGAACTTTTCCTCTTTTCACTACCAGTGTTCTACGACACTGTCGTCCCCACATTTCAAGACCAATTCCTCGTCTTGATGCGAACAACTTTCGAACTTTTCCTCTTTTCACTACCAGAGTTCTACGACACTGTCGTCCCCACATTTCAAGACCAATTCCACGTCTTGATGCGAACAACTTTCGAACTTTTCCTTTTTTTCACTACCAGAGTTCTACGACACTGTCGTCCCCATTCATTTCAAGACCAATTCCTTTGTTTTGATGCGAACAACTTTCGAACTTTTCCTCTTTTCACTACCAGAGTTCTACGACACTCTTTCCGTCCCCACACGTTTCAAGACGAATTCCTCGTCTTGATGCGAACAACTTTCGAACTTTCCTCTTTTCACTACCAGAGTTCTACGACACTGTCGTCCCACACATTTCAAGACCAATTCCGTCTTGATGCGAACAACTTTTTCGAACTTTTCCTCTTTTCACTACCAGGTTCTACGACACTGTCGTCCCCACATTCAAGACCAATTCCTCGTCTTGATGCGAACAACTTTCGAACTTTCCTCTTTTCACTACCAGAGTTCTACGACACTGTCGTCCCACATTCCAAGACCAATTCCACGTCTTGATGCGAACAACTTTCGAACTTTTCCTCTTTTCACTACTAGAGTTCTACGACAATGTCGTCCCCACATTTCAAGACCAATTCCACGTCTTGATTTTTTCAACTTTTCCTCTTTCACTACCAGAGGTCTACGACACTGTCGTCCCAATTCAAAGACCAATTCCACGTCTTGATGCGAACAACTTTCTGAACTTTTCAAGACTTTTCACTATTTCTTTTTCTAATGAACAACTACCAGTCCCCACACATTCGTCCCCAATTTCAAGACCAATTCCTCGTCTTGATGCGATTTTTCCAACTTTTCCTCTTTTCACTACCAGAGTTCTACGACACTGTCGTCCCCACATTTCAAGACTAATTCCTCGTCTTGATGAACAACTTTCGAACTTTTCACTCTTTTCACTACCAGAGTTCTACGACACTGTCGTTTCCTCACATTTCATTACCAATTCCACGTCTTGATGCGGGCAACAACTTTCACTTTTCCTTTTTCACTACCAGGTTTCTACGACACTGTCGTCCCCATTACACATTCCAAGACCAATTCCACGTCTTGATGCGAACAACTTTCGAACTTTTCCTTTTTCACTACCAGTGTTCTACAAGTTTTCGTCCCATTTCCAAGACCAATTCCTCGTCTTGATGCGAACAACTTTCAGAACTTTTTTCCTCTTTTCACTACCAAGACCAGTTCTAAGACACTTTCGTCTCCACCTCATTTTCAAAATCAATTCCACTGTCTTGATGCGAACTTGAACTTTTCAGACTTTTCCTCTTTTTCACTACCAGGAGTTCTGCACTGTCGTCCCCACATTCCAAGACCAATTCCTCGTCTTGATGCGCAATTCCTTTCGAACTTTTCCTCTTTTCACTACCAGAGTTCTACGACACTGTCGTCCCCACATTTCAAGACCAATTCCACGTCTTGATGCGAACAACTTTCGAACTTTTCCTCTTTTCACTACCAGATCTCTACGACACACTGTCGTCCCACACTATTCCAAGACCAATTCCTCGTCTTGATTAAACAACTTTCGAACTTTTCCTTTTTCACTACCAGTGTTCTACGACACTGTCGTCCCCACACATTTCAAGACCAATTCCACGTCTTGATGCGACAACTTTCGAACTTTTCCTCTTTCACTACCAGAGTTCCCAATTCGTATTCTGTCGTCCCACACATTTCAAAAGACCAATTCCTCGTCTTGATGCGAACAACTTTCGAACTTTTCCTCTTTTCACTACCAGAGTTCTACGACACTGTCGTCCCCACACATTTCCAAGACCAATTCCGTCGTCTTGATGCGAACAACTTTCGAAATTTTCCTCTTTTCACTACCAGGGGTTCACGACACTGTCGTCCCCAGATTTCAAGACAATTCCACGTCTTGATGTCGAACCAACTTTTCGAAACTTTTCCTCTTTCACTACCCATTTCTACGAAACTGTCGTCCCCACACATTTCCAAGACCAATTCCACGTCTTGATGCGAACATTTCGAACTTTTCCTCTTTTCACTACCGAGTTCTAAGACACTGTCGTCCCAATATTTCAAGACCAATTCCTCGTCTTGATGCGAACAACTTTCGAACTTTTCTTTTCACCACCAGGTTCAACGTAGTGTCGTCCCCACATTTCAAGACCAATTCCTCGTCTTGATCGAACAACTTTCGAACTTTTCCTCTTTTTCACTACCAGTTCTTAAACTTTCGAAAACACATTCAAGACCGTTCCCGTCTTGATGCGAACAACTTTCATACTTTTTCTCTTTCACTATTTGAGAGTTCTACGACACTGTCGTCCCCAACATTCAGACCAATTCCTCTTGTCTTGATGCGAACAACTTTCGAACTTTTCCTTTTTTCACTACCAGGTTCTACGACACTGTCGTCCTCACACCATTTTCTTGCTTCCAATTCCTTTTCTTGATGCGAACAACTTTCGTCCCCAACTTTTTCCTCTTTTCACTACCAGAGTTCTACGACACTGTCGTCCCCATTTCAAGACCAATTCCTTTTCCAAGACCAATTTTCCTCCTCTTGACACTGTCGTCCAACTTTCAGTTTTTTTCCTCTTTTTCTTTCGAACTTTTCCTTTTCGAGGACACTGTCGTCCCCACACATTTCAAGACCAATTCCACGTCTTGATGCGAACAACTTTCGAACTTTTCCTCTTTCACTACCAGATTCTACGACACTGTCGTCCCCACACATTCCAAGACCAATTCCTCGTCTTGATGCGAACAACTTTCGAACTTTTCCTCTTTTCACTACCAAGTTCTACAGCATTCTACCAATTTACTGTCGTTTCCTTTTCCTTTTTCACAAGACCACACTGTCGTCCCCACATTTCAGACCAATTCGTCTTGATGCGAACAACTTTCAGACTTTTCTCTTTTTCACTACCAGAGTTCTACGACACTGTCGTCCCCACACATTTCAAGACCAATTCCTCGTCTTGATGCGAACAACTTTCGAACTTTTCCTTTTCACTACCAGAGTTCTCGACACTGTCGTCCCCACATTTCCAAAGACCAATTCCACGTCTTGATGCGAACAACTTTCGAACTTTTCCTCTTCCCCCAGAGTTCTACGACACTGTCGTCCCCACAGATTCAAAGACCAATTCCACGTCTTGATGCGAACAACTTTCGAACTTTTCCTCTTTTCACTACCAGAGTTCTACGACACTGTCGTCCCCACACCTTTCAAGACCAATTCCTCGTCTTGATGCGAACAACTTTCGAACTTTTCCTCTTTTCACTACCAGAGTTCTACGACACTGTCGTCCCCACAATTTCCAAGACCAATTCCACGTCTTGATGCGAACAACTTTCGAACTTTTCCTCTTTTCACTACCAGAGTTCTGCGACACTGTCGTCCCACACACGCACAAGACCAATTCCTCGTCTTGATGCGAACAACTTTCGAACTTTTCCTCTTTTCACTACCGAGTTCTACGACACTGTCGTCCCCCACATTCCAAGACCAATTCCACGTCTTGATGCGCGAACAACTTTCCTTTTTTCCTCTTTTCACTACCAGAGTTCTACGACACTGTCGTCCCACACATTCCAAGACCAATTCCACGTCTTGATGCGAACAACTTTCGAACTTTTCCTCTTTTCACTACCAGAGTTCTACGACACTGTCGTCCCCACACATTTCAAATGACCAATTCCACGTCTTGATGCGAACAACTTTCGAACTTTTCCTCTTTTCACTACCAGAGTTCTACGACACTGTCGTCCCCACACATTCAAGACCAATTCCTCGTCTTTCACTATTACTTTTCGAACTTTTCCTTTTTCACTACCAGAGTTCTACGACACTGTCGTCCCCACAATTTCCTTTCCAATTCCACGTCTTGATGCGAACAACTTTCGAACTTTTTCTTTCACTACCAGGTTCTGGTAACACTGTCAATACATTTCAAGACCAATTCCTCGTCCCTAATAACAACTTTCACTTTTCTCTTTCGTACCAGAGTTCTGCGACACTGTCGTCCCACATTTCAAGATCAATTCCACAAACTTTTCCTCTTTCACTACACTTTTCTACCACGACACTGTCGTCCCCAAATTTCAAGACCAATTCCTCGTCTTGATGCCAACTTTTTTTCCTCTTTTCACTACCAGTTTCTACGACACTGTCGTCCCCACATTTCCAAGACCAATTCCTCGTCTTGATGAGAACAACTTTCCTTTTTCCTCTTTTTCACTACCAATTTTCTACGACACTGTCGTCCCCACTTCACTTTCCTTTTCCAATTCCACGTCTTTCATGCGAACAACTTTCGAACTTTTCCTCTTTTCACTACCAGAGTTCTGCGACACTGTCGTCCCCACACATTTCCAGACCAATTCCTCGTCTTGATGCGAACAACTTTCGAACTTTTCCTTTTTTACTACCAGAGTTCTCTTCCTGTCGTCCACATCATTTCCAAGACCAATTTCGTCTTTGATGCGAACAACTTTCGAACTTTTCACCTTTTTTTTTCACTACCAGAGTTCTACGACACTGTCGTCCCACATTTTTTCCCGACTTGATGCGGAACAACTTTCGAACTTTTCCTCTTTTCACTACCAGAGTTCTACGACACTGTCGTCCCACACATTTCAAGACCAATTCCTCGTCTTGATGCGAACAACTTTCGAACTTTTCCTCTTTTCACTACCAGAGTTCTACGACACTGTCGTCCCCACACATTTCAAAGACCAATTCCTCGTCTTGATGCGAACAACTTTCGAACTTTTCCTCTTTTCACTACCAGAGTTCTACGACACTGTCGTCCCACATTTCAAGACCAATTCCACGTCTTGATGCGAACAACTTTCGAACTTTCCTCTTTCACTACGAACACACTTCGTCCCCACATTCAAGACCAATTCCTCGTCTTGATGCGAACAACTTTCGAACTTTCCTCTTTTTTCAGACCAGTGTTCTACGACACTGTCGTCCCCACCACATTTCCAAGACCAATTCCACGTCTTGATGCGAACAACTTTCGAACTTTTCCTCTTTTCACTACCAGAGTTCTACGACACTGTCTGTCCCCCCCACATTTCAAAGACCAATTCCTCGTCTTGATGCGAACAACTTTCGAACTTTTTCCTCTTTTTCACTTCTACCAGAGTTCCCCACGACCAATTCCACGACACTGCGAACAACTTTCGAACTTTTCCAAGACCCCCATTTCAAGACCAATTCCTCGTCTTGATGCGAACAACTTTCGAACTTTTCCTCTTTTCACTACCAGAGTTCTACATTTGACACTGTCGTCCCCAAATTTCAGACCAATTCCACGTCTTTGATGCGAACAACTTTCGAACTTTTTTTTCCTCTTTTTCACGAAGGTTCTACAACACTGTCGTCCCACATTTCCAAGACTGATTCCTCGTCTTTGATGCGAACAACAGAACTTTTCCTCTTTTCACTCCGTTCTACGGACACCGTCCCCACATTTCAAGACCAATTCCTCGTCTTGATGCGAACAACTTTCGAACTTTCCTCTTTTCACTACCGGAGTTCTACGACACTGTCGTCCCACATTTTTCCAACCAATTCCTCGTCTTGATGAGTTTCAACTTTCCAAATTTTCAAATTTCACTACCAAGTTCTACGACACTGTCGTCCCCACATTTCCATAACCAATTCCTCGTCTTGATGCGAACAACTTTCGAACTTTTCTTTTCCTATTTCTCAACTGTCGTCCTCACCAGAATTCGTCTTGGGAACTCCTCGTCCCCACAAAAACGTCCCCCACCAAAACCAATTCCGTCTTTGATGCGACAAATTTCGAACTTTTCTTTTCACTACCAGGAGTTCACGGACACTGTCGTCCCCTAAGATTCCAAGATCAATTCCTCCGTCTTGAATTAACAACTTTCGAACTTTTCCTTTTCACTAAGAGAGAATTCTACGACAGTGGATCGTCCCACACATTCAAGACCAATTCCAGGTCTTGGTGAAACAACTTTCGAACGTTTCCTCTTTCACTACAAGAGTTCTACGACACTGTCGTCTTGGTTTCGATAGAATTCTACGAAGTCGTCAATTCCAGACCAATTCCACGCGAACAACTTTCGAGATTTTCCGCCTTTTCACTACCAGGTTCTACGACACTGTCGTCCCCACACATTTCTCATCCGACCAATTCCTCGTCTTTATAGAACAGACATGGCGAGGCAACTCTCGGCAGTGGAAAGTGACTGGCGACCTGCCGATCCCACCACATTCCATTGCCAATTTCCGTCTTGATTTTTAATAACTTTCGAACTTTTTCATCTTTTCTGCAGAGTTCTACGACCTGTCGTCCCCACACATTTCCAAGACCATTCCTCGTCTTGATTGGAACAACTTTCGAACTTTCCTCTTTTCACTACCGGAGTTCTACGACACTGTCGTCCCCTACACATTCCCAAGACCAATTCCACGTCTTGATGCGAACAACTTTCGAACTTTTCCTCTTTTCACTACCAGAGTTCTACGACCTCGTCCTCCCTCATTTTCCAGACTGGTTCCACCTCTTGGATGCAACAACTTTCGAACTTTTCCTCTTTTCACTACCAGAGTTCTACGACACTGTCAATCCCCACACATTCAAGACCAATTCCACGTCTTGAGTGAACAATCAGAACTTTCCTCTTTTCACTAGTTCTACGAGTACTCTCCCCACATTTCCAAGACACCACGTCTTGTGCGAACAACTTTCGAACTTTCCTCTTTTCATCAATAGAGTTCTACGACACTGTCGTCCTCAAAGACCAATTCCACGTCTTGATGCGAACAACTTTCGAACTTTTCCTCTTTCACTACCAGGTTCTACGACACTGTCGTCCCCACACATTCAAGACCAATTCCTCGTCTTGATGCGAACAACTTTTCAACTTTTCCTCTTTCACTACCAGAGTTCTACGACACTGTCGTCCCCCACATTCAAGACCAATTCCGTCTTGATGCGAACAACTTTCGAACTTTTCCTCTTTTCACTACCAAGTTCAACGACACTGTCGTCCTCACACATTCAAGACCAATTCCTCGTCTTGATGCGAACAACTTTCGAACTTTTCCTCTTTTCACTACCAGAGTTCTACGACACTGTCGTCCCCACATTCCAAGACCAATTCCTCGTCTTGAGCCGAACAACTTTCGAACTTTCCTCTTTCACTACCAGGTTCTACGACACTGTCGTCCCACACTTTTTAAGACCAATTTCTTCTTGATGCGAACAACTTTTCACCACTTTCGACACTGTCGTCCCTACTACCAAGACTTCTACGACACTGTCGTCCCCACATTCCCAAGACCAATTCCGACCACATCTTGATGCGAACAACTTTTCGAACTTTTCCTCTTTTCACTACCAGAGTTCTACGACACTGTCGTCCTCACATTCAAGACCAATTCGTCTTGATGCGAACAACTTTCGAACTTTTCCTCTTTTCACTACCAGAGTTCTACGACACACTGTCGTCCCCACATTTCCAGACCAATTCCACGTCTGATGCGAACAATTCGAACTTTTCCTCTTTTCACTACCAGAGTTCTACGACACTGTCGTCCCCATACATTTCCAAGACCAATTCCGTCTTGATGCGAACAACTTTCGAACTTTTCTCTTTTCACTACCAGAGTTCTACGACACTGTCGTCCCCACACATTTCCAAGACCAATTCCGTCTTGATGCGAACAACTTTCGAACTTTTCCTCTTTTCACTACCAGAGTTCTACGACACTGTCGTCCCCACACACCAATTCAAGACCAATTCCTCGTCTTGATGCGAACAACTTCGAACTTTTCCTCTTTTCACTACCAGAGTTCTACGACACTGTCGTCCCACACCCCAAGATTTCAATTTCCAAGAACCAATTTCCCTTTTCGTCTTGATGTCGAACAACTTTCTTGAACTTTCCTTTTCTTTTCACTACCAGAGTTCTACGACACTGTCGTCCCCACATTCATTTCAAGACCAATTCCGTCTTGATGCGAACAACTTTCGAAATTTTCTCCTCTTTCACTACCAGAGTTCTACGACACTGTCGTCCCACACATTTCAAGACCAATTCCACGTCTTGATGCGAACAACTTTCGAACTTTTCCTCTTTTCACTACCAGAGTTCTACGACACTGTCGTCCCCACACATTTCCAAGACCAATTCCTCGTCTTGATGCGATGCTTTCGAACTTTTTCCTTTTTCACTACCAGAGTTCTACGACACTGTCGTCCCCACACATTTCAAGACCAATTCCTCGTCTTGATGCGAACAACTTTCGAACTTTCCTCTCTTTCACTACCAGAGTTCTACGACACTGTCGTCCCGAACTTTTCCTCTTTTTCACTACCAGAGTTCCAAGACCCCCAATTTCCCCCAAGACGTCTTGATGCGAACAACTTTCGAACTTTTCCTCTTTTCACTACCAGAGTTCTACGACACTGTCGTCCCCACACATTTCCAAGACCAATTCCTCGTCTTGATGCGAACAACTTTCGAACTTTTCCTCTTTTCACTACCAGAGTTCTACGACACTGTCGTCCCCACACATTTCCAAGACCAATTCCACGTCTTGATGCGAACAACTTTCGAACTTTTCCTCTTTTCACTACCAGAGTTCTACGACACTGTCGACCCAACACATTTCCAAGACCAATTCCACGTCTTGATGCGAACAACTTTCGAACTTTTGATTCCCTCTTTCACTACCAGAGTTCTACGACACTGTCGTCCCCACATTCCAAGACCAATTCTCGTCTTGATGCGAACAACTTTCGAACTTTCCTCTTTTCACTACCGGAGTTCCGAAGTCGTCCCCACATTCCAAAGACCAATTCCACGTCTTGATGCGAACAACTTTCGAACTTTTCCTCTTTTCACTACCAGAGTTCAACGTTCTACGACACTGTCGATCCAACTTCACATTTCCAAGACCAATTCCACGTCTTTGATGCGAACAACTTTCGAACTTTTCCTCTTTTCACTACTAGAGTTCTACGACACTGTCGTCCCCACACATTCAAAGACCAATTCCACGTCTTGATGCGAACAACTTTCGAACTTTTCCTCTTTTCACTACCAGAGTTCTACGACACTGTCGTCCCACATTCAAGACCAATTCCACGTCTTGATGCGAACAACTTTCGAACTTTTCCTCTTTTCACTACCAGAGTTCTACGACACTGTCGTCCTCACACATTTCCAAGACCAATTCCTCGTCTTGATGCTACGAACAACTTTCGAACTTTTCTTTTCTCTTTCACTACCAGAGTTCTACGACACTGTCGTCCCCACACATTTCCAAGATCAATTCCGTCTTGATGCGAACAACTTTCGAACTTTTCCTCTTTCACTACCAGAGTTCTACGACACTGTCGTCCCCACACATTTCCAAGACCAATTCCTCGTCTTGATGCGAACAACTTTCGAACTTTTTCCTCTTTTCACTACCAGAGTTCTACGACACTGTCGTCCCCATCCCACATTCCAAGACCAATTCCTCGTCTTGATGCGAACAACTTTCGAACTTTTCCTCTTTTTTCACTACCAGGGAGTTCTACGGCCACTGTCGTCCCCACACATTTCCCAAGACCAATTCCACGTCTTGATGCGAACAACTCGTTTTTCCTCTTTTTCACTACCAGAGTTCTACGACACTGTCGTCCCCACATTTCAAGACCAATTCCACGTCTTGATGCAGACAACTTTCGAACTTTTCCTCTTTTCACTACCAGTGTTCTACGACATGTCGTCACACATTTCAAGACCAATTTCCTCGTCTTGATGCGAACAACTTTTCGAACTTTCCTCTTTTTCACTACCAGGTTCTACGACACTGTCGTCCCCACATTTCAAAACCAATTCCACGTCTTGATGCGAACGAACAACTTCTACGACACTTTCCCCACACATTTCTTTCCTCCAGTTTCTACGACACTGTCGTCCCCAACAACTTTCGAACAACGACTTTTCCTCTTTTCTACCAGAGTTCTACGACACTGTCGTCCCCACATTTCAAGACCAATTCCACGTCTTGATGCGAACAACTCAGACTTTTCCTCTTTTCACTACAGAGTTCTGTGCTGTCGTCCCACATTCCAAGACCGTTCCTCGTCTTGATGCGAACAACTTTCGAACTTTTCCTCTTTTCACTACAGGTTCTGCGACACTGTCGTCCCCATTTCAAGACCAATTCCGTCTTGATGCGAACAACTTTCGAACTTTTCCTCTTTTCACTACTGAAGTTCTACGACACTGTGACCCCCACATTTCCACGACAATTCCACGTCTTGATGCGAACAACTTTCAGTACCCTATTTTCCCTACCAAGGTTCTACACGACACTGTCGTCCCCACATTTCGAACCAATTCCTCGTCTTATTCCGGTGCGAACAACTTTTCCCTCTTTTCCCACTACCAGTGTTCTGCGACACTGTCGTCCCCACACATTTCAAGACCAATTCACCTCGTCTTGATGCGAACGCTTTCAGACTTTTCCTCTTTTCACTACCAGAGTTCTACGACACTGTCGTCCTCACACATTCCAAGATCAATTCCTCGTCTTGATGCGAACAACTCGAACTTTTTCCTCTTTTCACTACCAGGTTCTACGACACTGTCGTCCTCACATTTCAAGATCCAATTCCTCATCTTGATGCGAACAACTTTTCAGACTTTTCCTCTTTTCACTGCCAGGTTCTACGACACTGTCGTCCCCACATTTCAAGACAAATTCCACGTCTTGATGCGAACAACTTTCGAACTTTTTCTCTTTTTCACTACCAAGTTCTACGACACTGTCGTCCCCACATTCAAGACCAATTCCTCGTCTTGATGCAGAACAACTTTCGAACTTTCCTCTTTTCACTACCAGAGGTCTCGACACTGTCGTCCCCACACCAAGACCTTGGGTAGAACAAATTTCGAACATTTCCTCCTCTTTTCACTACCAGAGGTCTACGACACTGTCGTCCCCATTATTTCCAAGACCAATTTTTCTTGATGAGAACAACCGAACTTTTCCTTTTTCACTACCAGAGTTCTACGACACTGTCGTCCCCACACATTTCAAGACCAATTCCACGTCTTGATGCGAACAACTTTCGAACTTTTCCTTTTTCACTACCAGTGTTCTACGACACTGTCGTCCTCACACATTCCAAGAACAATTCCTCGTCTGATGCGAACAACTTTCCAGAACCTCTTTTCACTCTATTCACTACACATTCCAAGACCAATTCCACGTCTTGATGCGAACAACTTTCGAACTTTTCCTCTTTTCAAGTCCCAACATTCCTTCGTCTTGATGCGAACAACTTTCGAACTTTTCCTCTTTCCACTACCAGAGTTCTACGACACTGTCGTCCCCATACATTTCCAAGAACAATTCCTCGTCTTGGATTACGTGAATCTTTCGAACTTTTCTCTTTCACTATTCACTACTAGAGTTCCTCGTCGACACTTTCGAACTTTCTCTTTTCACTACCAGAGATTTCTACGACACTGTCGTCCCATTCCAAGACCAATTCCACGTGTTGATGCGAACAACTTTCGAACTTTTCTTCTTTTCACTACCAGAGTTCTACATTTACCGTCGTCACCATGCCTCAAAGAACAATTCCTCGTCTTGATGCGAATAACTTTCCGAACTTTTCCTCTTTTTCACTACCAGAGTTCTACGACACTGTCGTCCCCATTTCAGACCAATTCCCGTCTTGATGCGAACAAATTTCGAACCCTCTTTTCACCAGATGCGAAATAACATTTTCGAACTTCAATTCCGTCTTTCAACTTTTCCAGAGTTCTACCAGACACCTGTCGTCCCCACATTTCCAAGAACACCGTCTTGATGCAACAACTTCGAACTTTTCCTCATTTCACTACCAGAAATTCTAATACGACACTGTCGTCCCCATTACATTCCAAGACCAATTCCTCGTCTTGATGCGATCAACTTTCGAACTTTCCTCTATTTCACTATCAGGAGTTCTACGACACTGTCGTCCCCACACATTTCAAGGCTAATTCCACGTCTTGATGCGAACAACTTTCGAACTTTTCCTCTTTTCACTACCAGAGTTCTACCGACACTGTCGTCCCCACACATTTCGACCAATTCCACGTCTTGATGCGAAATAACTTTCCAGAAATTTTCCTATTTTCACTACCAGAGTTCTACGACACTGTGATCCCACACATTTTCAAAACCAGTTCCTCGCCTTGATGCGAACAACTTTCGAACTTTTCACTTTTTCACTACCAGAGTTCTACGACACTGTCGTCCCCAATTTCAAGACCAATTCCGTCTTGATGCGAACTTTCGAACTTTTCCTCTTTTTCACTACCAGAGTTCTACGACACTGTCGTCCCCACATTTCAAGAACAATTCCTCGTCTTGATGCGAACAACTTTCCGAACTTTTCCTCTTTTCACTACCAGAGTTCTACGACACTGTCGACCAACACATTTCAAGACCAATTCCACGATCTTGATGCGAACAAGCTTTCGAACTTTTCCTCTTTCACTACAGAGGTCCCCATTACTGTCGTCCCCACACATTCAAGACTAATTTCCCCATCTTGATGGGGAGCAACTTTCGAACTTTTCCTCTTTTCTACCTACCAGTGTTCACGACACTGTCGTCCCCACATTTCCAAGACCAGTTTACCTCCTCTTGATGGGAGCAACCGTTGCTGGGTCTTTTCCTCTTTCCTGCCAGGGTCTACGACACTGTCGTCCCCACATTTCAAGACCAATTCCTCCTCTTGATGCGACAACTTTCGAACTTTTCCTCTTTTCACTACCAGGTTCTACGACACTGTCGTCCCCACACATTCAGATGAATTTCTCCTCTGCCAGTGCGAACAACGCGAACTTTTCCTCTTTCACTGCCAGGTTTACGACACTGTCGTCCCACACATTTCAAGACGATTTTCCTCTTTTTTCGAACTTTTCCTCTTTTCACCAGAGTTCTCACGCACTTTTTTCCCCACACATTTCAAGACCAATTCCACGTCCCTGCACGCCTTTTTTTCCTCTTTTCACTACCAGGAGTTCACGTCCCCATTCCCTCCTCTTGACGCTTTCGAACTTTTCCTCTTTTCAACCAGGTTCACCCTCACTGTCGTCCCACACATTTCACCAATTCATGCCAACTTTCGTTTTTCTCTTTCCTGCTTTCACCCATTCTTCCCAGTGAACACGCTTTCGAACTTTCCTCTTTTCACTCCAGGGTCCTCCAATCCCACACATTTTCAAGACTCCACGTCTTTTCACCCTTTCCTCCTTCACGTACCAGTGTTCTACGACACTTTCCCCACCCATTTCCAAGACCAATTCCTCCTCTTACGCTTTTTTCCTCTTTTCACTACCAAAGAGTCCTCCTCACGCCTCGTTTTTCTCCTTTGACTCATTCAACTTTCGAACTTTTTCCTCTTTTCACTTTTCTCGACACTGTCGTCCCCATTCAAGACAATTCCTCCCTCATCGCATTTTTTCTCTTTTCACTACCATTCTGTCGTCCCGCATTTCAAGACCAATTCCCGTCTTGATGCACCCATTCCTCTTTTTCATACAGAGTTCTTTTTTCAAGACCGATTTCAATGATTCTCCAACTTTCGCCTTTTTCTTTTTCTCCATTTCTACGACACTGTCGTCCCCATTCAAGACTAATTCCACGTCTTGATGGGAACCATTCCACGTCTTGATGCGAACAAAGACTTCTTGATGCGAACAACTTTTTCCTCTTTTTTCACTACCAGTGTTCTACGACACTGTCGTCCCCACACCATTTCAAACAACTTTCGACCACCACTGTCGTCTTTCAAGATGTCTTGAAACAACTTTCGAACTTTTCTCCTCTTTTCACTACCAGAGTTCTACGAGTCGTCCCCACACATTTCCGTTCAATTCCACGTCTTGATGCGAACAACTTTCGTTTTCCTCTTTCACTACCAGTGTTCTACGACAAGACCAATTCCACACTTGATGCAAGACCAATTCGTCTTGATGCGAACAACTTTCGAACTTTTCCTCTTTTCATTACCAGAGTTCTACGACACTGTCGTCCCACACATTTCAAGACCAATTCCACGTCTTGATGCGAACAACTTTCGAACTTTTCCTCTTTTCACTACTCAGAGTTCTAATGACACTGTCGTCCCCACACATTTCCAAGACCAATTCCACGTCTTGATGCGAACAACTTTCGAACTTTTTTCCTCTTTCACTACCAGAGTTCTACGACACTGTCGTCCTCACACATTTCCAAGACCAATTCCGTCTTGATGCGAACAACTTTCGAACTTTTCCTCTTTTCACTACCAGAGTTCTACGACACAGTCGTCCCCACACATTCGTCCCCTACTTCCAAGACCAATTCCACGTCTTGATTCGAAATAACTTTCGAACTTTTCCTCTTTCACTACCAGAGTTCTACGACACTGTCGTCCCCACACATTTCCAAGACCAATTCTCGTCTTGATGCGAACAACTTTCGAACTTTTCCCTCTTTCACTACCAGAGCTCCCACGACACTGTCGTCCCCATTACATTTCCAAGACCAATTCCACGTCTTGATGCGAACAACTTTCGAACTTTTCCTCTTTTCACTACTAGAGTTCAACGACACTGTCGTCCTCACATTTCCAAGATCAATTCTCGTCTTGATGCGAACAACTTTCGAACTTTTCCTCTTTCACTACCAGAGTTCTACGACACTGTCGTCCCCACACATTTCCAAGACCAATTCCTCGTCTTGAGCCGAACAACTTTCGAACTTTTTCCTCTTTCACTACCAGAGTTCTACGACACTGTCGTCCCCATATTCGTCCCCATGCGAACAACTTCGAACTTTTCCTCTTTCAAGACGAATTCCCCACACATTTCGTCTTTGATGTTGAACGAACTGTCGAACTTTTCTTGATGCTCGAACTTTTCACTACCAGAGTTCTACGACACTGTCGTCCCACACATTTCCAAGACCAATTCCACGTCTTGATGCGAACAACTTTCGAACTTTTTCTTCTTTTCACTACCAGAGTTCTACGACACTGTCGTCCCCACATTTCCAAGACCAACCTTCCAAGACCGAATTTTCCTCTTTTCATCGTCTACGACACTGTCGTCCCCTAACAACTTTCAATTTTTCCAAATCTTTTCACTTTCACAGAGTTCTATGACACTGTCGTCCCACACATTTCCAAGACCAATTCCTATCGTCTTGATGGAACAACTTTCGAACTTTTCCTCTTTCACTACCAGAGTTCTACGACACTGTCGTCCCACACATTTCCAAGAACAACAATTCCTCGTCTTGACCAATTCACGTCTTGATGCGAACAACTTTCGAACTTTCCTCTTTTCACTACCAGAGTTCTACGACACTGTCGTCCCCTATTACATTCCAAGACCCAATTCCTCGTCTTGGTGCGAACAACTTTCGAACTTTTCCTCTTTTCACTACCAGAGTTCGACGACACTGTCGTCCCCACATTTCAAGACCAATTCCTCGTCTTGATGCGAACAACTTTCAGACTTTCCTCTTTTCACTACCAGACATTCTACGTCTTGGTCGAAAACAACTTTCGTTTCCCTTTTCACTGGGGTTCTGACACTGTCGTCAAGACCAATTCCTCGTCTTGATGCGAACAACTTTCGAACTTTTCCTCTTTTCACTACCAGAGTTCTACGACACTGTCGTTTCACCATTTCAAGACCAATTCCTCACGAACAACTTTCGAACTTTTTTTCTTTTTCACTACCGGAGTTCCGGCATTCTGTCGTCCCCACACCAAGATGAATTCCACGTTTTTCCCCCTCTTCACTCATTCCCTCCCTGCATTTTTCCTTTCACTCATTCCCTCCTCATGCCTTTTCTCTCTCACCCATTCCTCTCACGCTTTTCTCTTTCACTTATTCCTCCTCACGCCTTTTTTTTCTCTCAATTCTATCTCCTCACGCCTTTTTTTTCTTTTCACCATTCCTCTCTCTCTTCACTCATTAATTTCACGATTTTCTTTTCCCATTTAGAACTCCATTCCCCACGTATTTTTCTCTCTCTTCACTCATTCCTCCTGCCGCTTTTTCCTCTTTTTCACTTAATTCTCCTCACTTTTTCTCTTCTTTCTACCCATCCCCACGCTTTTTTTTTTTTTTTTTTCCTCTTTTCACTCATTCCTCTCACGCATTTTTCTCTTTCCCACATTCCAAGACCAGTTCCCGTCTTTGTGCGAACAACTCGAACTTTCCTCTTTTCACTACCAGGTTCTACGACACTGTCGTCCCACCACATTTCCAAGACCAATTCCTCTTCCTCTTGATGCGAACAACTTTCAGACTTTTCCTCTTTCACTGCAGTTACGACACTGTCGTCCTCCCCATTTCAAGTTCAATTCCTCGTCTTGATGCGAACAACTTTTTCTCTTTTCACTGCACCAGAGTTCACCGACACTGTCGTCCCCATTCCAAGACCAATTCCTCGTCTTGATGCGAACAACTTTCGAACTTTTCCTCTTTTCACTACCAGGTTCGACGACAGCCTGCTCGTCCCCACATTTCCAAGACCAATTCCTCGTCTTGATGCGAACAACTTTTCAGACTTTTCCTCTTTTCACTACCAGAGTTCTACGACACTGTCGTCCCCACATTTCTCCATTCCATTCCTCCTCAGCTTTCAGACCCTTTTTCACTACCAGAGTTCCTACGACACTGTCGTCCCTTTCCTCACGCTTTCCACGTCTCTTTGCGAACAACCCTCAGAAATTTTCCTATTTTCACTCATCCTTCTACGACACTGTCGTCCCACCCATTCTCCCCTCACCAATTCCTCGCCCAGCACTCCATTTCCTCCTCACGCTTTTCACTCTTTTCACTACCCTCCTTCTACGACACTGTCGTCCCTCATTCCCTCCTTACGCAATTCCTCTTTTACTCATTCCTTTCAGACTTTTCCTCTTTTCACTCATTCCCTTCTCACACATTTTCCCCTTTCCTCATTCCCTCCTCACGCATTTTCTCTCTTTTCACTCATTCCCTCCTCCGCATTTCTCTCTCACCCTGTCCTCCCACATTTTCAAAGACCAATTTCCTCCCTCCTCGCCTTTTCTCCTTTTCGAACATTTCCTCCTTTCACTACCAGTTTTCTCTCACTGTCGTCCCCTCCTTTCCAAGACCAATTCTCTTTCATGTGAACCTCTTTCGAACTTTTCCTCTTTTTCACTACCAGACCTCTACGACGCTTTTTCCCCTCATTTCCTCATTCCTCCTCTTGATACGCATTTTTCTCTCTTTTCCTCATTTCCTCCTTACGCTTTTTCCTATTTTCCTCATTCCCTCCTCACGCCTTTTTCGTCTTGATGCATTCAACTCCTCCTTTTCCCCTTTTCCTCATTCCCTCTACGACATTTTCGTCCTCACATTCCTCCTCCGCCAATTCCTCTCTCACCCATTCCCTTCTCACGCTTTTTCTCTTTTCAATCATTCCCTCCTCACGCACTTTCGTCCCCCCCATTTCCAAGACCAATTTTTCTCTCTTTCCTCGAACCTCTTCAACTTTTCTCTTTTCACTCATTACCTCTACGACTTTTCCCCCCTACTACATTCCTCAGACCAATTTCTCTCTCTTTCACTCATTCACCCTTCTTACTTTTTCCTCTTTTCACTGTTCCTCCTTCTCTCTCTTTCCTCATTCCCTCCCCACATTTCCCCTCCAATTCCTCATCTTGATCCTCACAACTTTCGAACTTTTCCTCTTTTTCCTACCAGAGTTCTACGACATTTTCGTCCTCACACCCATTTCTTCAGACCAATTTCTCTCTTTTCCGAATTCCCTTCAGACTTTTCCTCTTTCACTACATTCCCTCTCCGTACTGTCGTCCCCCACATTCCTCCTCACCTTTTTCTCTCTTCCTCATTCAGCTTTCGACCTTTTCCTCTTTTTTCACTACCAGAGTTCTACGGCTTTTTCTCTCCCCTCATTCCCTCCTCACCTTTTCCTCTCTTTCCTCATTCCCTTTCGAACTTTTCCCCTTTTCATTCCCCTCCTTCTACGGCGGTAGACACTGTCGTTCCCTCACATTCCAAGACCAATTCTCTCACCATTCCCTCCAACACGAACTTTTCCTCTTTTCACTCAGAGTTCCCCTCCTGTCGTCCCTAACACATTTCCAAGACCAATTCCCTCCTCAAGATTTTCTCTCAACCATTCCCTTTTCCTCCTTTTCTCCTATTTCCTCATTTCCCTCCTCACTGTCGTCCCACTCATTTCAGACCAATTCACCTCTTGATGCGAACTTTTCCCCCTTTCCTCATTTCCACCCTCAAAGCATTTCTCTCGTCCTCATTCCTCCTCCGCCTTTTTCTCCTTTTCTGATGCCTCCAACTTTCGAACTTTTCCTCTTTTTCACTCATTCCTCCTCACTCTTTTCCACACTTTCAGACCAATTCCTCGTCTTAATCTCTTTCACTTTCCCCTTTCACTCACGCATTTTTCTCCTCTTTCATTCCCTCCTTTTCAAGATTTTTCACTCATTGATGCGAACAACTTTCGAACTTTCACTCATTCCCTCCTCACGCACTGTTCCCCACACTTGCCAATTCCAGGTCTTTTGTGTTTCCTTTCTTTTCCACGTCTTTGTGTTTCTATTGTTTCCTTATGACCGAATGCCAATTCCACGTCTTTGTGGTACTGATATTTCCTTGGTTTCTACTATAAACCAAATGCCAATTCCACGTCTTGTGTTTGGTGTTATTTCCTTATGTAACCGAATGCCAATTCCACGTCTTTTGTGTTTCTGATATTTCCCTTATACCAAACCGAATGCCAATTCCACGTCCTCGTGGTTCTATTTTTTGCAAATTGAATGCCAATTATCTTTGTGTTTCTCTGTTACCGAAAACCAATTCCCACGTCTTTGTGTTTCTGTTATTTCCTTATGCAAACCGAATGCCAATTCCACGTCTTTGTGTTTCTGTTGTTTCATTATGGAAACCGAATGCCAATTCCACGTCTTTGTGTTTCTGTTATATTTCTACCAAACCAAATCCACGTCTTTTATGTTTCTATTATTTCCTTATGTAAACCGAATGACAATTCCACGTCTTTGTGTTTCTGTTATTTCCTTATGCAAACCGAATGCCAATTCCACGTCTTTGTGTTTCTGTTATTACTTCCGAATGCCAATTCCACGTCTTTGTTTCTGTTATTTCCTTTATGCAAACCGAATGCCAATTCCAGGTCTTTGTGTTTCTGTTATTTCCTTATGCAAACCGAATGCCAATTCCACGTCTTTGTGTTTCTGTTGTTTCCCTTATACCAAACCGAATGCCAATTCCACGTTTTGTGTTTCTGTTTCTACTTATGCAAACCGAATGCCAATTCCACGTCTTTGTGTTTGTGTTATTTCCTCATACAAACCGAATGCCAATTCCACGTCTTTGTGTTTTCTGTTATTTCCTTATGCAAACTGAATGCCAATTCCACGTCTTTTGTGTTTCTGTTTATTCCTTATGCAAACCGAATGCCAATTCCACGTCTTTGTGTTTCTGTTATTTCCTTATGCAAACCAAATGCCAATTCCACGTCTTTGTGTTTGTGTTATTTCCTGCAAACCGAATGCCAATTCCACGTCTTTGTGTTTCTGATTGTCTCATTATGCAAACCTGAATGCCAATTCCACGTCTTTATGTTTCTGTTATTTCCTGTAAACCTGAATGCCAATTCCACTTTGTGTTTCTATTATTTCCTTATGCAAACCGAATGCCAATTCCCCGTCTTTGTGTTTCTGTTGTCTTCTTATGCAAACCGAATGCCAATTCCACGTCTTTGTGTTTCTGTTATCTCCTTATAAAACCGAATGCCAATTCCACGTCTTTGTTTTCTGTTATTTCCTTTATGCAAAACCGAATGCCAATTCCACGTCTTTGTGTTTCTGATGTCTACATATGCAAAACCGAATGCCAATTCCACGTCTTTTTGTTTCTGTTATTTCCTTATGCAAACCGAATGCCAATTCCACGTCTTTGTTATTTGCGTTAATTTCCTTATGTAAACCGAATGCCAATTCCACGTCTTTGTGTTTCTGGTGTTTCCTTATGCAAACCGAATGCCAATTCCACGTCTTTGTGTTTCTGTTATTTCCTTTTTGCAAACCGAATGCCAATTCCACGTCTTTGTGTTTTCTGTTATTTCCTTATGTAAACCAAATGCCAATTCCACGTCTTTGTGTTTCTGTTATTTGCCTGAATAAACCGAATGCCAATTCCGTGTCTTTGTGTTTCTGTTTATTTCCTTTATGCAAACCGAATGTTCCACGTTTTTTTGTTTTCTGTTATCTTTATGCAAACCGGAATGCCAATTCCACTTTGTGTTTGTGTTTCTTGTGTCTCCAATTCCATGCAAAAACTGAATGCCAATTCAACGTCTTTGTGTTTCTGTTATTTCCTTAAACCGAATGCCAATTCCGAATGTTTCCAATTTTTCTTTATGTTTTGTGTTTGTTATCCCCGCAAACCAAATGCCAATTCCAGGTCTTTATGTTTCTGGTGTCTCCTTATGCAAACCGAATGCCAATTCCACGTCTTTGTGTTTCTATTGTTTCCTTATGCAAACCGAATGCCAATTCCACGTCTTTGTTTGTTCTGTTATTTTCTTATGCAAACCAAAATGCCAATTCCACGTCTTTGTGTTTCTGTTATCTCCTTTATGCAAACCGAATGCCAATTCAACGTCTTTGTGTTTCTGGTGTCTTCTTATGCAAACCGAATGCCAATTCCACGTCTTTACGTTTCTGTTGTTTCATTATGAAAACCGAATGCCAATTCCACGTCTTTGTGTTTCTGTTATTTCCTTATGCAAACCGAATGCCAATTCCACGTCTTTGTGTTTCTGGTGTCTCCTTATGCAAACCGAATGCCAATTCCACGTCTTTGTGTTTCTGTTGTTTCCTTATGCAAACCGAATGCCAATTCCACGTCTTTGTGTTTCTGTTATTTCCTTATGCAAACCGAATGCCAATTCCACGTCTTTGTGTTTCTGTTATTTACTTATGCAAACAGAATGCCAATTCCACGTCTTTGTTCTTTATTTCTGTTAATTTCCACTCTTATGTTTCAAAAACCGAATGCCAATTCCGTGTCTTTTTCTGTTTGTGTTATTTCCTTTTGCAAACCGAATGCCAATTCCACGTCTTTGTGTTTCTGTTATTTCCTTATGCAAACCGAATGCCAATTCCAATGTCTTTCAGTTTTTGTTTGTTTCCTTATGCAAACCGAATGCCAAATCCACGTATTTGTGTTTCTGGTGTCTCCTTATGCAAACCGAATGCCAATTCCAAGTCTTTGTCTTTCTATTATTTCCTTTTATTTGTAAACCGAATGCCAATTCCACGTCATTGTGTTTCTGGTGTCTACTTATGCAAACTGAATGCCAATTCCATGTCTTTGTGTTTGATGACTCCTTATTGCAAACCGAATGCCAATTCCACGTCTTTGTATTTCTGTTGTTTTACTTATGCAAACCGAATGCCAATTCCACGTCTTTGTGTTTCTGTTATTTCCTTATGCAAACCGAATGCCAATTCCACGTCTTTTTGTTTCTGTTATCTCCTTATGCAAACTGAATGCAAATTCCACGTCTTTGAGTTTCTGTTATTTCCTGATGCAAACCGAATGCCAATTCCACGTCCTTCAGTTTGCGTTATTTCCTCATGCAAACCGAATGTCAATTCCACGTCTTTGTGTTTCTGGTGTCCTCTTGCAAACCGAATGCCAATTCCACGTTTTGTGTTTCTTAGGTTACTTTATGCAAACCGAATGCCAATTCCACGTCATTGTGTTTCTGGTGTCTCCTTATGCTCACCGAATGCCAATTCCACTTCTTTGTGTTTCTGTTATTTTCCTTATGCAAAACCGAATGCCAATTCCACGTCTTTGTTTTCTTTTATTTACTTATGCAAACCGAATGCCAATTCCACGTCTTTGTGTTTCTGTTATTTTTTTATGCAAACCGAATGCCAATTCCATGTCTTTGTGTTTCTGTTATTTCCTTATGCAAACCGAATTTGCCAATTCCAAACGTCTTTGTTTTCTGTTGTTTCCTTATGCAAACCGAATGCCAATTCCACGTCTTTGTGTTTCTGTTATCTCCTTTTTGCAAACCGAATGCCAATTCCACGTCTTTGTGTTTCTGTTGTTCCTTATGCAAACCGAATGCCAATTCCACGTCTTTTTGTTTCTGTTGTTTCCTTATATGCAAACCGAATGCCAATTCCAAACCGAATGCCAATTTGTGTTTGTGTTTCTTTCTCCTTATGCAAACCGAATGCCAATTCACGTCTTTGTGTTTTCTGTTATTTCCTTATGCAAACCGAATGCCAATTCCACGTCTTTGTGTTTCTTTATTTCCTTATGCAAACCGAATGCCAATTCCACGTCTTTGTGTTTCTGTTATTTCCTTATGCAAACCGAATGCCAATTCCACGTCTTTTGTGTTTCTGTTATTTCCTTATGCAAACCGAATGCCAATTCCACGTCTTTGTGTTTCTATTGTCTTTATTATGCAAACCGAATGCCAATTCCACGTCTTTGTGTTTGTTGTCTCCTTATGCAAACCGAATGCCAATTCCACGTCTTTGTGTTTCTGTTATTTCCTTATGCAAACCAAATGCCAATTCCACGTCTTTGTGTTTCTGTTATTTCCTCATGCAAACCGAATGCCAATTCCACTTCTTTGTGTTTCTTATTTCCTTCTTTCAAACTGTTTCGTTATTTGTGTTTTGTTACCGAATGCCAATTCCAAGTCTTTGTCTTTTCTGTTATTTCCTTATGCAAACCGAATGCCAATTCCACGTCATTGTGTTTCTGGTGTCTTCTTATGCAAACCGAATGCCAATTCCACGTCTTTGTGTTTCTGTTATTTCCTTATGCAAACCGAATGCCAATTCCACGTCTTTGTGTTTCTGGTGTCTCCTTATGCAAAAACCGAATGCCAATTCCACGTCTTTTGTGTTTCTATTGTTTCCTTATGCAAACCGAATGCCAATTCCACGTCTTTGTCTTTCTGTTTCTTATGCAAACCAAATTTCCGTCTTTGTGTTTCAAAACTCCTTAAATGCCAATTCCACGTCTTTGTGTTTCTGTTATTTCCTTATGCAAACCGAATGCCAATTCCACGTCTTTGTGTTTCTGTTGTCTTCTTATGCAAACCGAATGCCAATTCCACGTCTTTGTGTTTCTGTTGTTTCCTTATGCAAACCGAATGCCAATTCCACGTCTTTGTGTTTCTGTTATTTCCTTATGCAAACCGAATGCCAATTCCACGTCTTTGTGTTTCTGTTGTCTCCTTATGCAAACCGAATGCCAATTCCACGTCTTTGTGTTTCTGTTGTTTCCTTAAACCAAATGCAAACCGAATGCCAATTCCAAACCGAATCCAATTCCACGTCTTTGTGTTTCTGTTGTTTTATGCAAACCGAATGCCAATTCCACGTCTTTGTGTTTCTGTTATTTACTTATGCAAACCGAATGCCAATTCCACGTCTTTGTGTTTTTGTTGTTTCCTTATGCAAACCGAATGCCAATTCCACGTCTTTGTCTTTTCTGTTATCTCTTTTATGCAAAACCGAATGCCAATTCCACGTCTTTGTGTTTCTGGTGTTTCCTTATGCAAACCGAATGCCAATTCCACGTCTTTGTGTTTCTGTTGTTTCCTTATGGAAACCGAATGCCAATTCCACGTCTTTGTGTTTCTGGTGTCTCCTTATGCAAACCGAATGCCAATTCCACGTCTTTGTGTTTCTGTTGTCTCCTTATGCAAACCGAATGCCAATTCCACGTCTTTGTGTTTCTGTTGTTTTCTTATGCAAACCGAATGCCAATTCCACGTCTTTGTGTTTCTTATTTCCTTATGCAAACCGAATGCCAATTCCACGTCTTTGTGTTTCTGGTGTCAAACCGAATGCCAATTCCACGTCTTTGTGTTTCTGTTATTTCCTTATGCAAACCGAATGCCAATTCCACGTCTTTGTGTTTCTGTTATTTCCTGATAAACCGAATGCCAATTCCATGTCTTTGTGTTTCTGTTATCTCCTTTATGCAAACCGAATGCCAATTCCACGTCTTTTGTTTCTGTTATTTCTTCTTATGCAAACCGAATGCCAATTCCACGTCTTTGTGTTTCTGTTATTTTCCTTCATGCAAACCGAATGCCAATTCCAAGTCTTTGTGTTTCTGTTATATTTGTAAACCGAATGCCAATTCCACGTCTTTGTGTTTCTGTTGTTTAATTATGCAAACCGAATGCCAATTCCACGTCTTTGTGTTTGTGGGGTTTCCTTATGCAAAACCGAATGCCAATTCCACGTCTTTGTGTTTCTGGTGTTTCCTTATGCAAACCGAATGCCAATTCCACGTCTTTGTGTTTCTGTTATTTCCTTATGCAAACCGAATGCCAATTCCACGTCTTTGTGTTTCTGTTTTTTTCTTATGCAAACCGAATGCCAATTCCACGTCTTTGTGTTTCTGTTATTTCCTTATGCAAACCGAATGCCAATTCCACGTCTTTGTGTTTCTGTTATTTCTTATGCAAACCGAATTAATTCCACGTCTTTGTGTTTCTGTTATTTCCTTAAAACCGAATGCCAATTCCACGTCTTTTGTGTTTCTGTTATTTCCTATGCAAACCGAATGCCAATTCCACGTCTTTGTGTTTCTGGTGTTTCCTTATGCAAACCGAATGCCAATTCCACGTCTTTGTGTTCTGGTGTCTCATTATTTGTTCTCCTTATGCAAACCGAATGCCAATTCCACGTCTTTGTGTTTCTGTTGTTTACTTATTTTCCATTCTTTTCGGTTTGATGCAAAACCGAATGCCAATTCCACGTCTTTGTGTTTCTGGTGTTTACTTATGCAAACCGAATGCCAATTCCACGTCTTTTGTGTTTCTGTTATTTATTTATGCAAACCGAATGCCAATTCCACGTCTTTGTGTTTTGTTGTCTACTTGCTAACCAAATTTCCATCTTTGTGTTTCTTTATGCAAACCGAATGCCAATTCCACGTCTTTGTGTTTCTGTTATTTACCTTATGCAAACCGAATGCCAATTCCACGTCTTTGTGTTTCTGTTTTCCTTTGCAAAACGAATGCCAATTCCCGTGCAAAACCGAATGCCAATTCCACGTCTTTGTTTCTGTTTCTTATAAACCGAATGCCAATTCCGTCTTTGTCTTTCCTTGTGTTTCTGTTATTTCATGCAAACCGAATGCCAATTCCACGTCTTTGTGTTTCTGTTGTTTACTTATGCAAACCGAATGCCAATTCCACGTCTTTGTGTTTCTGGTGTTTCCTTATGCAAACCGAATGCCAATTCCACGTCTTTGTGTTTCTGTTATTTCCTTATGCAAACCGAATGCCAATTCCACGTCTTTGTGTTTCTGTTGTTTCCTTATGCAAACCGAATGCCAATTCCACGTCTTTGTGTTTCTGTTATTTACTTATGCAAACCGAATGCCAATTCCACGTCTTTGTGTTTCTGTTGTTTATTTATGCAAAACCGAATGCCAATTCCATGTCTTTTGTTTCTGTTTTCTGTTATTTCCTTATGCAAAAACCGAATGCCAATTCCACGTCTTTGTGTTTTGTTATTTCCTTATGCAAACCGAATGCCAATTCCATCCACGTCTTTCTGTTATTTCCTTATGCAAACCGAATGCCAATTCCACGTCTTTTGTGTTTCTGTTATTTACTGATGCAAACCGAATGCCAATTCCACGTCTTTGTGTTTCTGTTGTTTCCTTATGCAAACCGAATGCCAATTCCACGTCTTTGTGTTTCTGTTATTTACTTATGCAAACCGAATGCCAATTCCACGTCTTTGTGTTTGTGTTATTTCCTTATGCAAACCGAATGCCAATTCCACGTCTTTGTGTTTCTGGTGTCTCCTTATGCAAACCGAATGCCAATTCCACGTCTTTGTGTTTCTGTTATTTCCTTATGCAAACCGAATGCCAATTCCACGTCTTTGTGTTTCTGTTGTTTACTTATGCAAACCGAATGCCAATTCCATGTCTTTGTGTTTCTGTTATTTCCTTATGCAAACCGAATGCCAATTCCACGTCTTTTTCTGTTTTATGCAAACCGAATGCCAATTCCATCTTTGTGTTTCTGTTATTTCATGCAAACCGAATGCCAATTCCACGTCTTTGTGTTTCTGTTATTTCCTTATGCAAAACCGAATGCCAATTCCACGTCTTTGTGTTTGTGTTTCTGTTTCCACGTTTTTGATTCTGCAAAACCGAATGCCAATTCCACGTCTTTGTGTTTCTGTTTTTCCTTTATGCAAACCGAATGCCAATTCCACGTCTTTGTGTTTCTTATTTCCTTATGCAAACCGAATGCCAATTCCACGTCTTTGTGTTTCTGGTTTGTTTCTGTTAATGCAAACCGAATGCCAATTCCACGTCTTTGTGTTTCTGTTATTTCCTTATGCAAAACCGAATGCCAATTCCACGTCTTTGTGTTTCTGTTTCAAACCGAATGTTATTTCTTTGTTGTCTCCTTATGCAAACCGAATGCCAATTCCACGTCTTTGTGTTTCTGTTGTTTCCTTATGCAAACCGAATGCCAATTCCACGTCTTTGTGTTTCTGTTTTTACTTATGCAAACCGAATGCCAATTCCACGTCTTTGTGTTTCTGTTATTTCCTTATGCAAACCGAATGCCAATTCCACGTCTTTGTGTTTCTGGTGTTTCTTATGCAAACCGAATGCCAATTCCACGTCTTTGTGTTTCTGTTATTTACTTATGCAAACCGAATGCCAATTCCACGTCTTTGTTTTGTGTTATTTCCTTCTGCCAATTCCATGTCTTTGTGTTTCTGTTATTTTGCAAACCGAATGCCAATTCCACGTCTTTGTGTTTCTGTTGTTTCCTTATGCAAACCGAATGCCAATTCCACGTCTTTGTGTTTCTGTTATTTCCTTATGCAAACCGAATGCCAATTCCATGTCTTTGTGTTTCTGTTAAACCGAATCTCCTTATGCAAACCGAATGCCAATTCCTTTGTGTTTCTGTTATTTACTTTGCAAACCAGATGTCTTTGTGTTTCTGTTATTTCCTTATGCAAACCGAATGCCAATTCCACGTCTTTGTGTTTCTGTTATTTCCTTATGCAAACCGAATGCCAATTCCACGTCTTTGTGTTTCTGGTGTTTCCTTATGCAAACCAATGAATGCCAATTCCACGTCTTTGTGTTTCTGTTTCCTTATGCAAACCGAATGCCAATTCCACGTCTTTGTGTTTGTTATTTCCTTATGCAAACCGAATGCCAATTCCACGTCTTTGTGTTTCTGTTATTTATTTATGCAAACCGAATGCCAATTCCACGTCTTTGTGTTTCTGTTGTTTACTTATGCAAACCGAATGCCAATTCGTCTTTTGTGTTTCTGTTGTTTCTTTATGCAAACCGAATGCCAATTCCACGTCTTTGTGTTTCTGTTATTTCCTTATGCAAACCGAATGCCAATTCCACGTCTTTGTTTCTGTTATTTCCTTATGCAAACCGAATGCCAATTCCATGTCTTTGTGTTTCTGTTGTTTCCTTATGCAAACCGAATGCCAATTCCACGTCTTTGTGTTTCTGTTATTTCCTTATGCAAACCGAATGCCAATTCCACGTCTTTGTGTTTCTGTTATTTCCTTATGCAAACCGAATGCCAATTCCACGTCTTTGTGTTTCTGTTATTTCTCTTATGCAAACCGAATGCCAATTCCACGTCTTTGTGTTTCTGTTGTTTCCTTATGCAAACCGAATGCCAATTCCACGTCTTTGTGTTTCTGTTGTTTCCTTATGCAAACCGAATGCCAATTCCACGTCTTTTCCGTTTCTGTTATTTTTTATTTCAAACCGAATGCCAATTCCACGTCTTTGTGTTTCTGTTATTTACTTATGCAAACCGAATGCCAATTCCACGTCTTTGTGTTTCTGTTATTTCCCTTATGCAAACCGAATGCCAATTCCACGTCTTTGTGTTTCTGTTTTTGTTATTTACTTTTATGTTTTTGTTTTTTTCTTATGCAAACCGAATGCCAATTCCACGTCTTTGTGTTTCTGTTATTTCCTTATGCAAACCGAATGCCAATTCCACGTCTTTGTGTTTCTGTTGTTTCCTTATGCAAACCGAATGCCAATTCCACGTCTTTGTGTTTCTGTTCTTTCCTTGCAATGCCAACCTTTGAGTTCTGAATGCCAATTCCACGTCTTTTCAGTTTCTGTTATTTCTTATGCAAACCGAATGCCAATTCCACGTCTTTTGTGTTTCTGTTATTTCCTTATGCAAACCGAATGCCAATTCCACGTCTTTGTGTTTCTGTTATTTCCTTATATGTAAACCGAATGCCAATTCCACGTCTTTGTGTTTCTGTTATTTCCTTATGCAAACCGAATGCCAATTCCACGTCTTTGTGTTTCTGTTATTTCCTTATGCAAACCGAATGCCAATTCCACGTCTTTGTGTTTCTTCCATGTTATTTCCTTTGTCTATGCAAACCGAATGCCAATTCCACGTCTTTTGTGTTTCTGTTATTTCCTTATGCAAACCGAATGCCAATTCCACGTCTTTGTGTTTCTGTTTTTCCTTATGCAAACCGAATGCCAATTCCACGTCTTTGTGTTTCTGTTATTTCCTCAAACCGAATGCCAATTCCACGTCTTTGTGTTTCTGTTATTTCCTTTTGCAAACCGAATGCCAATTCCACGTCTTTTCATGTTTGTGTTATTTCCTTATGCAAACCGAATGCCAATTCCACGTCTTTGTGTTTCTGTTATTTCCTTATGCAAACCGAATGCCAATTCCACGTCTTTGTGTTTCTGTTATTTCCTTATGTAAACCGAATGCCAATTCCACGTCTTTGTGTTTCTGTTATTTCCTTATGCAAACCGAATGCCAATTCCACGTCTTTGTTGTTTCTGTTATTTCCTTATGCAAACCGAATGCCAATTCCACGTCTTTCTGTTTCTGTTGTTTCCTTATGCAAAACCGAATGCCAATTCCATGTCTTTGTGTTTCTGTTATTTCCTTATGCAAACCGAATGCCAATTCCACGTCTTTGTGTTTCTGTTATTTCTTATGCAAACCGAATGCCAATTCCACGTCTTTGTGTTTCTGTTATTTCCTTATGCAAACCGAATGCCAATTCCACGTCTTTGTGTTTGTGTTATTTTTATGCAAACTTAATGCCAAACTTTGTGTTTCTGTTATTTACTTAATGCCAATTCCACGTCTTTGTGTTTCTGTTATTTCCTTATGCAAACCGAATGCCAATTCCACGTCTTTTGTGTTTCTGTTATTTCCTTATGCAAACCGAATGCCAATTCCACGTCTTTGTGTTTCTGTTATTTCCTTATGCAAACCGAATGCCAATTCCACGTCTTTGTGTTTCTGTTTCTCCTTATGCAAACCGAATGCCAATTCCACGTCTTTGTGTTTCTTTATTTCCTTATGCAAACCGAATGCCAATTCCACGTCTTTGTTTTTTCTGTTATTTCCTTATAAAAACCGAATGCCAATTCCACGTCTTTGTGTTTCTGTTGTCTTTTTTCTTATGCAAACCGAATGCCAATTCCACGTCTTTTTCTGTTTTCCTTATTAAACTTTCTTTGTGTTTCTGTTATTTCCATATGCAAACCGAATGCCAATTCCACGTCTTTTGTGTTTCTGTTATTTCCTTATGCAAACCGAATGCCAATTCCACGTCTTTGTGTTTCTGTTATTTCCTTATGCAAACCGAATGCCAATTCCACGTCTTTGTGTTTTTCTTTATTTCCTTATTTGCAAAACCGAATGCCAATTCCACGTCTTTGTGTTTCTGTTATTTCCTTATGCAAACCGAATGCCAATTCCACGTCTTTGTGTTTCTGTTATTTCCTTATGCCTTCAAACCGAATGCCAATTCCACGTCTTTGTGTTTCTGTTGTTTCCTTATGCAAACCGAATGCCAATTCCACGTCTTTGTGTTTCTGTTGTCTTCTTTATGCAAACCGAATGCCAATTCCACGTCTTTGTGTTTCCTGTTGTTTCCTTATGCCAATTCCACGAATTGTGTTCTGTTTCCACGTCAAACGAATGTTGTGTTTCTGTTTGTTTACTTATGCAAACCGTGCCAATTCCACGTCTTTGTTTCTGTTGTTTCTTTCAAACCGAATGCAAACCCGTCTTTGTGTTTCCAATTCCAACCGAATGCCAATTCCATGTCTTTGTGTTTGTGTTATTTCCTTATGCAAACCGAATGCCAATTCCACGTCTTTGTGTTTCTGTTATGTTAACCGAATGCCAATTCCACCGAATGCCAATTCCATGTCTTTGTCTTTCTGTTTTGGGGTACTTATGCAAACCGAATGCCAATTCCACGTCTTTGTGTTTCTGTTATTTCCTTATGCAAACCGAATGCCAATTCCACGTCTTTCTTTGTTTTTACTTTTGAATGCCAATTCCACGTCTTTGACTTTCCTTATTTCCTTATGCAAACCGAATGCCAATTCCACGTCTTTGTGTTTCTGTTATTTTCTGTTATTTCCTGACCCGAATGCCAATTCCACGTCTTTTAGTTTCTGTTATTTCCTTATGCAAACCGAATGCCAATTCCACGTCTTTGTTTCTTTATTTCCTTATGCAAACCGAATGCCAATTCCACGTCTTTGAGTTTCTCTTATTTCCTTATGCAAAACCGAATGCCAATTCCACGTCTTTGTGTTTCTGTTGTTTCCTTATGCAAACCGAATGCCAATTCCACGTCTTTGTGTTTCTGGTGTTTTCTTATGCCAACCGAATGCCAATTCCACGTCTTTATGTTTCTGTTATTTCCTTATGCAAACCGAATGCCAATTCCACGTCTTTTGTGTTTCTGTTATTTCCTTATGCAAACCGAATGCCAATTCCACGTCTTTGTGTTTCCGTTATTTCCTTTCTCTTGCAAACCGAATGCCAATTCCACGTCTTTGTGTTTCTGTTTTTCCTTATGCAAACCGAATGCCAATTCCACGTCTTTGTGTTTCTTATTTCCTTATGCAAACCGAATGCCAATTCCACGTCTTTGTGTTTCTGTTGCTTTCTTTGCAAACCGAATGCCAATTCCACTTTTGTCTTTGTTATTTCCTTATTTTTCCACGTCTTTGTGTTTCTGTTATTTCCTTATGCCAACCGAATCCAATTCCGTCTTTGTGTTTCTGTTATTTCCTTATGCAAACCGAATGCCAATTCCACGTCATTTTGTGTTTCTGTTGTTCCTTATGCAAACCGAATGCCAATTCCACGTCTTTTGTGTTTCTGTTGTCTCCTATGCAAACCGAATGCCAATTCCATGTCTTTGTGTTTCTTTATTTCTTTATGCAAACCGAATGCCAATTCCACGTCTTTGTGTTTCTGTTATTTCCTTATGCAAACCGAATGCCAATTCCACGTCTTTTGTGTTTCTGTTATTTCCTTATGCAAACCGAATGCCAATTCCACGTCTTTGTGTTTCTGTTATTTCCTTATGCAAACCGAATTCCACGTCTTTGTGTTTCTGGGGCTCCTTATGCAAACTGAATGCCAATTCCACGTTTTGTGTTTCTGTTATTTCCTTATGCAAACCGAATGCCAATTCCACGTCTTTGTGTTTCTGTTGTTTCCTTATGCAAACCGAATGCCAATTCCACGTCTTTGTGTTTCTGGTGTCTCCTTATGCCAAACCGAATGCCAATTCCACGTCTTTGTGTTTCTGTTATTTCCTTTATGCAAACCGAATGCCAATTCCACGTTTTCTTTCAGTTTCTTTTGCAAACCGAATTTCCATCTTTGTCTTTCTGTTATTTCCTTAAAACGAATGCCAATTCCACGTCATTTATGTTTCTGTTATCTTTTATGCAAACCGAATTGCCAATTCCACGTCTTTCCACGTGTTTCTGTTATTTCCTTATGCAAACCGAATGCCAATTCCACGTTTGTGTTTCTGTTTATTTACTTATGCAAACCGAATGCCAATTCCATGTCTTTGTGTTTCTGTTATTTCCTTATGCAAACCGAATGCCAATTCCACGTCTTTGTGTTTCTGTTATTTTTTGCAAACCGAATGCCAATTCCACGTCTTTTGTTTTCTGTTATTTTCCTTATGCAAACCGAATGCCAATTCACGTCTTTTGTGTTTCTGTTATTTCCTTCCATGTCAAACCGAATGCCAATTCCAATTCCACGTCTTTGTGTTTCTGTTATTTCCTTATGCAAACCGAATGCCAATTCCACGTCTTTGTGTTTCTGTTATTTTCTTTATGCAAACCGAATGCCAATTCCACGTCTTTGTGTTTCCGTTATTTTTTTCAAACCGAATGCCAATTCCACGTCTTTTGTGTTTCAATTCCTTTCAAACTGAATTTGTCCACGTTTTGTGTTTCTTTATTTCCTTATGCAAACCGAATGCCAATTCCACGTCTTTCAGTTTCTTTATTTCCTTTGTATTATTCCACGTATTTGTGTTTCTTTATTTCATGAAAACCGAATGCCAATTCCACGTCTTTGTGTTTCTGTTATTTCCTTATGAAAACCGAATGCCAATTCCACGTTCTTTGTGTTTCTGTTTTTTCCTTATGCAAACCGAATGCCAATTCCACGTCTTTCTGTTTCTGTTGTTTCCTTATTTAAACCGAATGCCAATTCCACGTCTTTGTGTTTCTATTATTTCCTTATACAAACCAATGCCAATTCCACGTCTTTGTGTTTCTGTTATTTCGTTTTCTTATGCAAACCGAATGCCAATTCCACGTCTTTGTTTTCTGTTATTTTCCTTATTAAACCGATGCCAATTCCATAAACCCGAATTTCTTTCTTTGTGTTTCTATTTCCTTATGCAAACCGAATGCCAATTCCACGTCTTTGTTATTCTGTTATTTCCTTATGCAAACCGAATGCCAATTCCACTTTTTCTGTCTTATCTATCTTTTGACTTTCCGTTATTTCCTTATGCAAACCGAATGCCAATTCCACGTCTTTGTGTTTCTGTTAACGACTTATGGAAAACCGAATGCCAATTCCATGTCTTTCACCAGGTGTTATTTCCTTATGCAAACCGAATGCCAATTCCACGTCTTTGTTTGTTTTTTCTTATCAAACCGAATTTTCTAATTTGTCCCAAACTGATGCCAATTCCATTTCTTTGTGTTTCTGTTATTTCCTGATGCCAAATCGAATGCCAATTCCACGTCTTTGTGTTTGTGTTATTTCCTCATGCAAACCGAATGCCAATTCCACGTCTTTGTGTTTCTGTTGTTTCCTTATACCAGTCCGAATGCCAATTCCACGTCTTTGTGTTTCTGTTATCTTCCTTATGCAAACCGAATGCCAATTCCACGTCTTTGTGTTTCTGTTATTTCCTTTGCCAATTCTACGTCTTTGACCTTTTTTTTCCTTATGCAAACCGAATGCCTTTTTTCCCAGTTTGTGTTTCTTCCTTTATAAACCGAATGCCAATTCCACGTCTTTGTGTTTCTGGTGTCTAGTTATGCCAACCGAATGCCAATTCCACGTCTTTGTCTTTCTGTTATTTCCTTATGTAAACCGTCATTGTGTTTCTGTATGCCAATTCCAATTTCATGTCTTTGTGTTTCTGTTATTTTCCTGATGCAAACCGAATGCCAATTCTACGTCTTTCCCTTTTCTGTTATTTTTCTTATGTTAACCGAATGCCAATTCCACGTCTTTGTGTTTCTGGTATCTAATTATGCAAACCGAATGCCAATTCCACTTCTTTGTCTTTCTTTTATTTCCTTATGCAAACCGAATGCCAATTCCACGTCTTTGTGTTTCTGTTTTTCCTTATGAAAACGAATGCCAATTCCATTTGTGTTTCTTAGGTCCAAACCGAATGCAAAATGCCAATTCCACATTTTGTGCCAATTTCTGTTATTTCCTTATGCAAACCGAATGCCAATTCCACGTCTTTTGTGTTTCTGTTATTTCCTCATTCAAACCGAATATCAATTCCACACCTTTCTGTTTGTGTTCCAATTGTTAATTTTCCTTAACAAACCGATTATGCCAATTCCAATTCCAAGTCTTTGTGTTTCTCTTATTTCCTTATGTTAACCGAATGCCAATTCCACTTCTTTGTGTTTCTTGTTTCCTTTACCAAACATTACCAATTCAAACTTTCTTTTTTTGTTTTTCAATGCCAATTCCAATTTCTTTTGTGTTTCTGTTATTTTTTTATTTTCTTTCTGCCAATTCCACGTCTTTGTGTTTCTGTTATTTCCTTATGCAAACCGAATGCCAATTCCACGTCTTTGTGTTTCTGTTATTTTTATGCAAACCGAATATTTATTCCACTTCTTTTGTTTTCTGTTTATTTATTTTTATGCAAACCGAATGCCAATTCCACTTCTTTGTGTTTCTGTTATTTCCTTAATGCAAACCGAATGCCAATTCCATGTCTTTGTGTTTCTGTTATTTCAACTGAACCGAAAATTGCAAACAATTGAATTTCCAGTCTTTGTGTTTTTACTTATTTCCTGATGCAAACCGAATGCCACCACCAAGACTTTGTGTTTCTGTTGTTTCCCTATGCAAACCAGAATTCCAATTCCATCTCCTTGTCTTTCTGAAGTTTCCTTATGCAAACCGAATGCCGTCATTCCTTTGTCTTTCTGTGTTTCCCTGGCATTTCCCAATTCAAGTGTTTGAAGTAGTTCATAAAACCGACAATTCCACGTCTTTGTGTTTCCGGGTACTCATACCAAACCGAATGCCGATTCCGTCTTTGTGTTTCTGGAGTCTCCTTATGTTGTTGGTGCACGCCACGTATTTGTGTTTCCAGAGTCGTTATTTAAACCGAATGCCGATTCTACGTCTTTGGTGTTTCTGTTGTCTACTTATGCAAACCGATGTAGTTTATTCGAGATACTTAGGATGCGATGTAGTTTATCGTCATTCCTAGGGAGTGGATGTCTGTTTATCGTTATACCTAACACGCAGATTATTGTATTGTCATGTAGTTTATTGGAAGCCTAGGACGGTTAGATGTAGTTTATTGTCATTATCTATTAGTGGATGGATGTAGTTTATTGTCACATGGTAGCGGATGTAGTTATCCAGACCTAAGATGCGGATGTATAATATCGTCATACCCAGGACACAGATTTTATCGACATACCTAGGGACGCGGATGTAGTTTATTGTCATAACGATGCAGTAGTTTATTGGTCATACCTAGGATGCAGATGTAGTTTATCCACATCTAAAGACGCGGATGTATATTATTGTCATACCCAGATGCAGATGCATTTTATCGGCATACCTAAGACGCGGATGTAGTTTATTGTCATATCTATTGTCATACCTTATTGTCATATTAGACGCATTTTATCGACATACCTAGGATGCGGATGTAGTTTATTGTCATATCTAGGATGCGGATGAAGTTTATCGACATACCCCGGACGGGTTGATTCTTGATCCACATCATTTTTTTAAGAACATGAAACGCAAGACGAAAGTCAGGCTCGAACAATAATAAAAAAACGGAATAAAAATGGTCGACAGATTTAACTGTCATAGAATCCCAGGAAAATTTATTGTAAAGAAAGGACGCGGAAATCAAAAATTAATAAGAAAAATTAGGAATCAATTTTGCGCACGAAGATGATATATAGTTTATCGAATAATGACGGTGGATTCTGAAATTTTCGATTTTTTTAAGAACATGAAACGCTTATGACGTCACTGGATGAATAATAAAAAAACGAATAAAATGGTCGACATTTATTTATTTTGATAGAATTTCAGGAAAATAAAGTCTACGTTATAAAAGATCAAATTAATAAGGGAAAATTAAAAACGAGGCGCACGAATATTTATTATCCATTATTACACGACGAAAAATACGAAATTGCATTCCTGAAAAACAAGAGAATTATTTGTAACGTCATGAATATTTATGAACAACCTTGAATTTGCATCTGTTTAGATAGAGAGACCGCGAGAGAGAAATGAGAGGAAACGTTGAAAGAGAAAGAGAGAGAGGCGGGGAAAAGAAAACGAGGAAAAACAATATTTAGATATTCCAAACACCTAAAAATTCAGACAATTAAGGTATTCCTGAAAAGACAAGAGAATTAACGCGTTCATGTCAATGTTCTGTTTCTTGGAAGCGAATCGTTCGCCTTTCAGCGAGAGAGAGAGGAAATTGAATTTGAGAGATGCGGTTTTTAAACAAAAAAATAACATCATTTATCATTCATATTTTGGGGTTTTCAAAAAAAGAAAGTAATCAAGAAACGCGTTTGCAACTAATTTCTGTCGGCGGGCATGCAAATCGTTCGGTATTGAGATCAGCCTTGTTTAGCGTAGAGGATATTGAATTTTTGAGTGATGCGGTTTTTACAAATGAAATTTAATCATTCGTCAACAGAAAAAAAGAAAGTAAACTACTTTGCAAAATATGATTAAAGAGATAAACGGTATTGAGATCAATTTGTTTATATGTAGAGGATTCGTCTTGATGCGAACAAATTTTCTCCATCAACAGATTATTTGTGATAAAACTTATTTGAACTTTCCTCCGTTTTCAGCTGAAAATGTAGAGACCACGACACCGTCGTCAATATTTTCCAAGACCAACTCTTCGTCTTGAAGTGAACAAATTGTTCGAACGTTTCTTCTTTACTACCAGAGTTCTACGACACTGTCGTCACCACATTTCCAAGAACAATTCCTCGTCTTGAACGAACAACTTTCGAACTTTACCCTCTATTCACTACAAGAGTTCTTTGACACGCGTCGTCTGACGTCACAGACGAACAGCGTTTTCCTCGTCTTGATGCGAACAACTTTTAAACTTTCCTGGTTGATTACCACTTCCACCGTCGTCACCACACATTCCACCAATTCGTCTTGGGCCTTTCGAACTTTCCTCTAATACCAGTTCTACGACACCGTTAACAAAACAAAACCTCGTCTTGATGCGAACAACTTTCAACTTTCCTCTATTCAAAGGACGACACCGTCGTTTGAACCAAGAACAATTCCTCGTCTTGATGCGAACAACGTTGAACTTTCCTCTATTCACTACCAGAGTTCTACGATACTGTCGTCACCACATTTCCAAGAATTTCCTCGTCTTGATGCGAACAACTTTCGAACTTTCCGTTTTCACTACCAGTTCTAGTTCTACGACACTGTCGTCAACGCTTTTCGATTTCCTCTATTTTCCAAGACCAAATTCCCACGTCTTGAAGTGAACAACTTTTTGAACTTTCATTATTCACTACCAGAATTCTACGACCACCCACATTCAAGACCAATTCCTCGTCTTGTGCGAACAACTTTCGAACTTTCCATTCACTACCAAATCTTGGCTCGTCACCACAAGTTAATACCAATTTTGAACCCTTTTTCCTCTATTCACTACCAGAATTCTACGACACTGTCGTCACCACACATTTCAAGACCAATTCCTCGTCTTGAAGGCCAACAGCTTGAAAACTTTCCTCTATTCACTACAGAATTCTACGACACCGTCGTCACCACAAATCGTCCAAGAACAAATTCGAACTTTCCTCTATCTTTCTACGAAGTCGAACAATTCCTGAACTTTTTCTCTATTCACTACCAGAATTCTACGACACTGTCGTCACCACACATTTCCAAGACCAATTCCTCGTCTTGATGCGAACAACTTTCGAACTTTTTCTATTCACTACCAGAGTTCTACGACACTGTCGTCACCACATTTCCAAGAACAATTCCTCGTCTTGATGCGAACAACTTTCGAACTTTTGCTCTATTCACTACCAGAGTTCTACGACACTGTCGTCACCACACATTTCCAAGAACAATTCCTCGTCTTGATGCGAACAACTTTCGAACTTTCCTCTATTCACTAACAGAGTTCTACGACAATTCCTCGTCTTGTCGTCAACCATTCATTTTCCGACAAGAATGAATTCCTCGTCTTGATGCGAACAACTTTCGAACTTTCCTCTATTCACTACCAGATATCTACGACACTGTCGTCACCACACATTCCAGACCAATTCCAATGAACAACGTTCGAACTTTCCTCTATTCACTACCAAGGTTCTTTAACAACATTTCCAAGAACAATTCCTCGTCTTGATGCGAACAACTTTCGAACTTTCCTCTATTCACTACCAGAGTTCTACGACACTGTCGTCACCACATT